GGCCCTTGAAAGACCTTCACCCCCGCGCCGTTCAAGTTATGCTACCCGTTTTACTACTACTCCTGCGCTCCTCCTCCTACTCCTGCGGCAAAAGCTCTCTGCTACTTCCCCCTTCCTCTTCCACCTTTTTTTTCCCTGTGTTTGGCCTTTTCGGCCCTGTCGTGCAACAGAAAGCCCTCCGACTCCAACGCGCGCCTTTTCTGTCCCTGCAAAATTTGCTCCTTCCTCCCACCATTCCATACGACCTAGAACTAGCTACTCGAGTATACCACCACCACAACCACAACCACAACCACCACCACACACACCACATAATCTTCAACCCCCCCCTCCCCCCGGTTCTCCCCTGCCTGCTTGAGCTCTTCAATAGGAAGGGAAAAGAAAAAAGGAAAAAAAATTATTATTCAACCCCCAAAGTAACAACCTCCAATGAGGGGGAGGGAGAATATAATAAGATAAAATATAAAATAAAGTGCCCAGCTTGTACCGTATTGGCTTCGGGGAATTTAAAAATAATTTATGCTACACTCGGTCTCCGATCATCGCCCATCACTGTTCTCTATCGTTTTGGTATCGATAACACTATCTGCACCCAAGTTTATTATTATTAGGCACCCTTTCTCGCCCACGCATTCTCCTCTCCCCCTCTCCCCCTCTCTTTCTTTCCCTTCTTCACTCACTAGTCCTACCCTCGACCTACATCGCGCTCGTTTAATATCTGCCTCCATTCCCCTCATTCTTTCATTCTCCTCCCACCTTTTAACTTCCTCTTCAATCCCATAAGAAGAATAAAGAGTTCCATCAGGGCAAAGTCTCCCGGGCTCTGTGATATTCAGCTTCTGTCCCCTCGCTCGTTGCTTCTTCTCTCCGGCTGCCCTCATCTTGCTGCTCCTGCTCTTACCTGTTTAAATACCTCTTACCAATCCTCCCTTCCTCCTTGTCCACCGATCATCTTTCGTCTAGCACGATCCTTGTTCCTTCGCCAACGATCCTCAAACACCTTTCTATATCTGAATTTTGCTCTTCAATCGGCCGGTCCCACGCTCGTTTCTCGCTTCCTCAACAGCAGCAATCATGATGAACACTCAGGCAATGGCACCGCAGTCAGCGATGGTTGATCATCATCGTTTAGCTAGAGATACTTTTTCATACTCGCCGGGATTCCTCTTACATTATGCCCCGCATCTATCGTCCCGCACTGGATCCGGGAGTCTCTCTCTGTCTAGCTCCTTGCAGTCCGGTCCCGATTCCCTTCGCCTCCACCATCACCACCAACACCATCAACACCAGCATCACCACCACCACCAGCAGCAGCAACATCAGCACCAGCACCAACATCAGCAACACCAACTTCAACAGCAACACCAGCAGCAGGACCACCAACTTGCGACTGCCTTAGCAAACCCGAGCCCCAAGCAGCAGCAACTGCCTTCCCCTGCATCTGAGATGGGCAATGCCTTCGAGGACACACCCACTAGCCTGGAGGGATTCCCCACCCAGGCGGAATTCGAGAACCTTCTGAACGAATACATCCTCTCGCTCTCCCCCAAGAAGAGGGACAAAGCCCTCATCCCTCAAAAACGCTACGACAACATCCTAGCTGTCCTCCGTGATCCCAAGTGCACAACCATTGAATCCGCTCAATTTAGGTTTTGGGCCAAGAAGATGTTCCGCTTGGTGCCTGACGACGACAACGTTGGTGTTGTTTGCCACGAGGGCAAGCCAGTGGCCGTTAGAGAGCAGCTTTACAATGTATTGACATCCTCTCACGGACAAGCACAACATGGTGGGCGTGATAAGACATCAGCCCAAGTTCGCAAATATTTCTCCTGGTACGTTAGTGGAAAACCAAAAGCCCTCTCTCTTACTACTGCGCAAGCAAGCACGTTAAGTTTCATGGCGAAATCCATAAAAACGGAAGTGCCTACTGCTTCCATGTGCCCTTCCTTTTGGGGAAGAAGAATGGGGAAAGAAGGGCAAACATAAATGAACACAATTCCCTTTCAAAGTTTCTCTTCTTAAGCTTCCCTTCCCTCCATCTCGCCATATTTCTCAGAAAGAAAGCCTAGACACCACTCTGTAGTAATACCGGGCTAACCTTTTGATTTTTCTTCACAATCAGGGTCCCCAAGGAACTCATTGCCCGTTTCGTCCGAAATTGCCCTAGTTGCACCCTCCGCCGCAGTAGCCCTTTGGAATACGCTGTAGCAAACAATGCCCGCCAAGCAATTGATGCTACCCCCACATATATCACCTCCTCCGCCAGTTCTTCCCAACGATCATCCGTGAGCTCTATGAGTTCGCCGATGAGCACGGTTCCTCCCAATCATCAAGTAGTGGCCCAGCTGGCCCTGGTGTCTTCTGCGCCCCCCTCAAGCCTCGTCCCTGCCACCGCAAACGCTCATACCTACTCCTTCTCCTACCCCGAGATGCCTCTTGACCCCCGCATGTACGCAACTGGTCCTAGTGACCTATCCAACTAAAAAAAACGCGGACAGCACTACTGAGGCCTTGCAGCACCCTACAGCGGGAGGGAGGGAGGGAGGGAGAGATCAACGAAAAACTTTTTAAAATACAAAAAATAACGAACGGACTAATTGCTTCTAAATTTTTCATGGGATTACGCTTGTATGGAATCTTTTTACTGGGGTTATCCGGGGTCTATTGGTTCTTTTTTTATTTTTCTACGAAATGACTTTATAGTCCATACTTTTGGGGTTTATATTATCTTGGTCCGCAACTTTTTTTTTTTATTCTTTCTTTTTTTTACTTCGGGGAACAAAAAAATGCTTCGTACAGGTGGGAGGGAAGGTGATCGGTGGTGGGGGGGAAGGGGGCAGTGGTGGAGGTAGTTCAGAAAAACACTTCTTGTCTTTACTTTTGTTGAAATTGGTTTTCCCCCCACCGAGGTTTACTGTGATTTCATTTCATCTCCCTTTTACATTCCTCTCCTCACTTGTATTGGGATTTCTTATGTTTGGTATTTTTTCTTTCCTCAACTGCTTGGGACATCCTCGATGGTGGGGGCGGGCAGTCTATGAGGGAAGGACTAGGGAATACTAATACTGGGGTTTTGTGTAGTATCCGTTTTTCTTCTCAAATTTTTATTTCCTCTATTTCTCAGTCCTATTACCCTTTTCTATTTTATCTTCTGTTCGTTTATGTACATATATCCCTTGGTGCTCCTATCTGGGGTTCGGCCGCCGAAATATGCCTTTTGATATTTTTGTGAATGTTTACAAGAGAAAAAACGTCTACGCTTTTGCCATATGGAAAAAAATTTGAATCCTCATGGGTGTGTATGTGAGCCTTTTTGCTGATAGTGGGGGAGGAAGAGTGGGAGGGGGGGTGGGTTCGATGAAGGAGCGGTTTAATCCTGAGGTAACTTCTCCATCCTCCCCCCCCCCACGAAAGCTGCGATAGGATGAGAACACCATACCAAGCTCTGATATAGAAAAGCTATCTGTTTCAGCCTTACTAGCTACTAGAGCTAACCTCCCGGAGAACAAGCAATTCATGCCCGCCCCATGCAAGCAAGTGACTGAAACAGTGAGTTGTTTCTTATCGGAAGCTTGAACAAAACACCACCTCCCTTTAGGTTGCCATAGCCTAACTGCCAATCCGTTGTTTTTTACCCTTACTCCTCTAAGCTTAAGGATGTATGGATGGGGCATTGGATGCCGGCCGACGGCGCCGAATGGGGTTGAAAGGAAAAAGAGTTAATATTCACTACTCACTTCGCTACACTAAATTACCAGTTTCTCCACCACATCTCTTTCCCATCCATCCATCCATCCATCCATCCATCCATCCATCCATCCTGACCAATAGCAACAACTGCGGCGATATATATTTCGCACGTTCTGGACCCCCATCGAGCGTGCATGCCGGTTGGATTGGGGTTGCATAATTTTCCATTGAGGGTGTGCTGAGCTGGTGAGGAATACCTGCCTACACATCCCGTACCCTTTGGATCGCCGGCCACGGACTCGCCCGGGAAGAGCATACCGGTATACACCCGCATATCTTATTTCTTTTTCAAGTTTATTTTTATTCCCATTTTGGGGGAAGTCGTGGTGAAGCGGAAAAAGGTACGGGTTTTGATATTGACTGGACTGACTGGTTGGCTAGTTGGTTTTGGGAGTTGGTTGGGGGAATAATTATTTATTTTTTGGAGACCTATTTTCTTGGCGTGGAGTTGTACTCGAGTACAGCATAGGCACTTGTAATGCTCCCGGCACGGTGGGCGAGGGGATTTCCCTGTTTTTTTTTGGGGGGGGATAAGGCAGAGGAGGAGGAGGAACTGGAAGAAGGTGAAGGAGGTAGACGGAAGGGAGGGATGGAGGGAGGTAAGTTGGGTTTCTCATATGATATATTGGGGAGAAATGTGAGAGAAATGTGTATAAATCCCCCTCCATCGTTCTTTTACCTGTTCACTCGTCGCTGTTGCTGCCGCTACTGTTGATAACTCCTCATCGCTATTGCTATGGCACTGCTACGGGGATAAACACTCTTTCCGATGCGTTTTCCGGAGGTTTGGTGGGGGGAAAGAAGGAGAAGGAAAAAACTTATGGGACCTTGCATTTTTACTCTCAGCTTTTACGACACTTATGCTTTCTTTTTGCTACCCTGCCTGGAGCTAAGCCAAGCTATAGCTCCTGCTCCTGCTCCTCCACATCCTCTGCCTGGGTAGAGTACGCTACCCATTGCACAACGACAGCAACAACAACGGACAACAAGCAAGAAAAGAAAAATTGGGGGAACGAATCGAAGGTGGAAAGGGGGGCGAGATTCATTATCTGAAAGGATGGGCCACGACCGGGCGGTGGAAAGGGGAGAGGGATCAGCCTCACCTCTACGCCTTTGTCCACATAAAAAACTTGCAAACCTCATGCGAACACCTCACTCACTCGCCCTACTTCACTCACTCACTCGAGCATCGACAACCCACACCTCCATCAACCTCACAACCTCACTTACTCACCTACCTACCTTCCTGCCTACCTCTCACCACCACGCCAACTTCGATAATTATCCTAACCTCCCTCCCTCCCTCCCACCTTCCGTGAGGCAAGAGAGCGAACCTCCCCCTCCCTCCTAATCCACATCAGCAAAAAATAAAATAAAAATGTCCCAAAGCTAATCACAGCATCTGCACCCGATCGATCAAATCGCCAAATCGAACGAACGAGACGAGGGTACGAGCGAGCGAGTTTAACAACGACGACAACGACAGCGACAACTACCTAACCCAAGCTAACCTAACATAATTTGGCTAACCAACAAAGCTAAGCCAACCTTTCTTTACCTTTCTCCTTCCCTCTCTCTTGCTTCCCTCACCTGCCTTGTCGACACCCCTCCCCTTCTACTCGGACAATCCCGCGATCGGCTTACCCCCCCTCCCCTGTCTTCGACTTTCGCCTTCCTGAGGCGAGGTGAGAGTGAGTGAAGTGAATGAGTGAGTTAGGGAAGATGGGGGGGCAAGGGAGGGAAGTAAGTACAGTGCGAACACATTCTCGTTTCGAATAGCTCGGGGGAATTGGGAGGTGTTGAAGGTGGTGGTGGTGGGGGGGACAAGTGAGCTGCTTCTCCCATCTAAATTACCTTCCTTCCAGCAGCGGTATCAGCAGCCGCATACGCGAAACCAAAACCAAACTCGAATAATTAAAACCGCAAAGGTTAAAAGACATAAGTGGGGTTCCCTATTTTATTTTTACAATCGCGGGAAAAACCAGCAACCCCCCGTCTCCTTTTCCCCTGTGGTGTACGCAATTCCACTGAAATCGAATAATTGACGTTGGATCATTGATTTTGCCAGGGAACTCGACCCCCAAAAAAAAACCACTCTCCCATAGAGTAAGTGCGTGGGGGTTTTCGGTAGAGTAGCAGTTACCCTACCCTGCTGAGGTACTACAAGTACCACTGGGACCGTGCTATCAGAAGGTGGAAGAAAAAAAAAAAAATTTGGCGTGGGGGGGAAACAGTCCTCATTTATCTATTCCTATCATACCCTTCAATATCGGTGTGTCGGCAATACTCCTACTATTAGGGTACTCTTACCGTAGCAGATTTCCCTTCGGATCTGAAGTTTGGTCAATATCTGGATTGTTTGAGGTGCTTGCTTACAGACATGCAGACGGTTTACGCCGCGGTTAGGGTTTTCCGCAAGAAGCGGGAGAGCTAGAATTGGGAAGCCGTTTTTCCTTTTTCCTTTTTCTTTTTTTTTTTTTTGCTGGTTGCGCTTTCGCATAGCGTCCTTGCCAAGTGTTTATGCGGATCTACTATGGTAGGGTAAGGGGAACGACGATAATTTCTTATCATCCAAGATCAAGTTAGATGTTCTACTGGTCACCTCACGGAGAGAGAGCTTCCCCGGCCGGCCATACTACTACTACCCCTGGAGAAGATATTAAGTTAGCCCAGGGCCATTAACCACCCTAAGAGTGCTGGGAGATACGAACAACAGATTAAAGGATAAGCTACCGTATCATACCCGTTTCCACCCGCCTTTTAATAGCTGTACAAGCAGTTTGGCGTACAGTAGTCTATAGTTTTTGTTTCCCTTCCTTCGTCGACGTGGGGTTCCTATCGCCCCCGAGAGGGGGGGGGTCATCATCGTCGTGATTCGCGATTCGGAGGTTGGTTGGGTGGGTTATCTTGAGTCTCTGGATAGTAGTATCATAGTAGATACCGATATCTTTGTCCCGGCGGTGAGCCGTACCAGTAAGTTAGTTAATCCAAAACAGCCCACGGTGGGATAGATAGATACGGTGGATAGATAGACAGATAGGATAATAGCTCCGGTACCGATTACGGGTTCTGTCCACGATATTGAATTATCATTATTAGTTGTTGGCATAAAAACTTGGAAAAATCAAAATCACGATACTTGTCCAACCCGGAAAGAAGAAGAAGAAAAAGCATGATAGAACAAATTCCGAGAAACTTTCATAACAAGTGGATCCATCGTTAGGATTACTGACGTCCCGAGCACCCGTAACCCACCACTCACCCAACGCCGAGGATTTCCCCAAACCCCGACTCCCGATCGAATCGGGATCGGGGGGCTAGGATCGGTTTTGGTAGAGTATCATGGTCTGAAACTTTTGTCCGTAGACTATTGTCCGTTTCACACGCCGGTTTTGCCGTGGTTAGTCAACCTACGGTACGGTAATTTACTTGTATCATACTCGTATGTATATACTAGAATTTGACAATAAAAAATTACTCCCTCATCCACACGTAGAATTCCCAATATATATATAATATTATATATTTGTTTAGTTCGGTTTTAGTTCGCAGCTCGAGCGATAACTTCAACCAGCATGAAAAAGCTATTCCGAACAACAGTACAGTACAGTATACTGTACTCGTTACGCTTTCGCGGGGGGGCGGGGGGGCAATAGAACACCCAATGGAAAAAGAAAAATTTTAAAAAAAGAGTGTTCTAGACTTTCACTTACCTTTTACCAGAAGAAGCATCCCACGTTTTCAACAATGTTTGGTTTCTTTTTTCTTTTTTCTTCTTTTCTTTTTCCCATAGGCTTGGCTTGGCTAGATTGGCTTGGGGCTTGGCTTTGTTATTTTACTATCATAGTTTCTTTTCTTTTCGTTTGGTTGCGTGCGTGCGTGCGTGCGTGCGACCGCGCATTGCATTGCCTTGCGCGCGCGCGGAGCGCCGTTGCGGCGGTGGACGGTACTGTAGTCTACTGTAAACCGTATGGGAGAAACCTGGGAATTGTGTTTGTTTTGGTGGTGTGAATGGGTGTGTGTGGGTGGTTGTGGGGGGGGGGTTTTTGATTTTATTGTTTTGGGGGTTTCATTTTATTATTACTCGTACTTTGTGGGTGGGTCCTGTTATGTTTGTGTTTTTTTTTTTTGGGGGGGGGAGGGTATCGTAGATCGGGGCTTGGTATTGTTTTTCTCGCGGTGAGCTTGGCGGATGGTTTCTCGTTACATGTATTAGGTTATCATGGTTCTAGGTTGTGGTGGTTATTATATAGTTGACTACGGGTGGGGGTTTTTGCAAGTGCTTGTGTTCGGGATAGCGGGTGCACAGTGTGTAGTGTATACTTATACAGAGGTTATGTTCTACAATCATGGCATGCTCGGCATCACACCTCCGCGTTTTTATCATTATTATAAGGTCGAGTTGAGTTGAGGAACCGCGGGTGTCCACCGTCGTGATATTAACTTCCCATATCAAGTATGCCACACACGCATGAATACTTATTCCCAACAAGCTGGCACCTTCGGCGAGAGCGAGAAGGGGGAAAAGAAAAAGAAGAAAACCGGAAATGCCTGGGTAGGAGTTTGGTGAGCGTACTCGAGTACTCCGATAGGATGGCTGGGTAGGTGGAACCTATGATAATACCCCCCCATTCCATGCGCATTGCTTTTCGTCCTACATACTCTTTTTTACTTACTATTTTGTTCAGCTACAGTGACCTTCCTTACCTCAAGTGCTGGCGGAGTACCAAGCCAGCCAGCCAACAAGCAAGCAAACGAGCAGGAGAGCATCTTTCCTTTTTCCCCCCCATCGTTCTTCCCCAAACAGCATTTTGCCGCGCACATGAATAAAAATAAAAAAAAGGTCACGCAAATCTAAGTATATGGTTGAAATCGAGCATCTTCAAATACCCCCTCCTCCACCGCCTCCTGCACCCCTCCCAATTAATCCTGGCCAGCATTTCGCCTTCCTGTCTGACGCATGCCTGCCTACCTGCCTCAAGATAGCTGACTACCCGCTTTTTTTTCTTTCTGAAATTAACCTTTCCAAAAGATACAAAAAAGTAACCAAGGACTGCAGCTTGCAATAGTGACAATACCAGCGCGGCACCGCAGTACTGCCAAGTAAAAAGGACTATCCGAACCAAATGGGCAGAGGACGGGTGGACCAAAGTAATAATTAAAAAGGAGAGGTGTAACTCGTGTGGGGTATAGTAAGTAAAATCCGCCCGTTCCGCCCAAACAAAAAGAAAAAGAACAATAGAGAAAGAAATAAAAGAACAATATATACCACGCCATCCCGTGACTAGCGGACCCCACCCACCCATCCATACCAGTTATAGATGAGAAATAAAGTACAGTACAGGTAGAATACAAAATTTAGGGAGAGGTTAGGCGGGAGCCAAGTAATAAACATCAGCTTGGACTATTGTTGTACAGGAACCAAGGAAAGAGACGGAAAGGCGTGGACTCAGCGACCGATAGGCAGGGAAGGGATGCAGGGAAAAATGGGTATCACCAGTACACAAGAGGGGATGTCCGGTTAGCCAATTGTCTTCATCCCCAGAGGAAGGGGGGTGAGTTGTTTTCCACTGAAAGGAAATTCGGCGAGGCAGTTCCCTTTCCGGCGACCTTTGTTTTCCCTTCGCCTTTTCACCTCTGGTCTGCTAGCAACTCCCTCAAGGCCCATTTGTTGCCTAATTTGCTCGCCTCGCCCTGAGAGACCCAGCCCTCAACTCTCCTCCGCCATCGCTCCTCCTCCTCACGCTGACGTCTGACAAACTCGGGTCCCACATCGAACTCCTCCCCTACGATAAACTCTCCGAATCCTCCGCTCAGCCTTGTCCCGCGAGGGCCACCAACCCCAGCACCACTCCCACTTCCCCCAAAAACATTTCCCCCAAATCCCTCGTCCATACCCCCACTGTATCGATCAATGCTGATCATGTCGTGATCCTGGAGGTCGTCCAATCCCTCGAACGGGTCATGCTCCTCTTCATCGGGGTCCTCATCGACCTTGAGCCAGCACATCCTTGAGGGATCGAAAACCATGCCACGGACAACTTGGATTCCCAGCTTTGAGCCGTTCTGGTTGACATTGGCGATCAAGGCAGGGCGAGGTGGCGTGGGATTTTGTGTTTCGAACCCTTTTACGTCACCCTCGTTCCCTTCCCACTTGTATGTCTTGGGGTTATATGTCATCCCATTAACCGCGGTCACTGCGTGACGATAACGTGACTTCGTGTTAGCCTACCAGAACCCATGAAACATTAAAACGCAGTAAAGCCCGCGTTGCAGATCGACAGGGGCACGAAAGCAGGAAGGTAAGCGAGAAACAATGATCGACATGGGTGCTCGTAATGTCGTGGCGCTTGCAAAACGGACTGCTATTGCATATCACAAAAATTCTGGGGCTCTGGCCAATTTTTGGCTGTATGCAATAGCAGTCCGTTTTACAAACGCCACAACACTACGAATGGAAAAAAAAAAAAAGACAGCAATGGAGCATCATGCAATGGCATGCTTGGCCCATTAGTTGCAGGTTACACTGCAAACGCACGTACCTTTAGGGAGACTGTTTACATTACCCATTGGCTTGATAAGGTGTGGTTTCTGCTGTGGCTTCCGGCGGCTTTTTGGACCCGCAGTGCCGCGAGCGGCAACTTGTGCCTTCCAATGATTAATGCTTGGATTGGCCCCGCCCCCGGGCGGATGCCCAGTTCTCTGCTCGCGTGCATTCCTGGATGCTATTTTTGTCATACGTAAATTAGTCGAGGTAATTGAGATTCGGGAAAGTGGGTGGGGGAAGAGGGAAGCAAACCATTAGTGTCTCTAGCGAACCTTGGAACTTCCCCGAAGCGGTTGGTCAGGTCAATCCTCTTAGAGGGGCTTTCTCCATCTCTCCCTGTAGTCCCGTGGACAGGTACGCTCCTGGATTTTGTTGCCTCGGGTGCCCCACGGCCCGCAGGTGCAACTACAAACCGATTCTCAAGCTTGGCACTTGTTGGTAAATCGTCGAAAATTTCCAGTTCTGTGCCATCACCAAAGTTCCTTTTCCTTGTCGGCTGAGTCAACGTTTCAATCGCGGCTGCTTCTCTCCTTAGGTGTTCTGGGGCAACTGTGGGTGTTGCTCTTTTTGCCTTCGCCGATGCGGTGGACGAAGATGGTGAGTGGCGTGGCGTTCGCTGCTGTAGACGGCTATTTGTGCGTCTTTCAGCCGCAATGGACTCTTTGTAGTCGAACGTTTGGCGAGACCGTTTCGCCGAAATATGCTGACTCTGCCTCACCGAACTCCCAGCTGGCAAAAAGGGCACCGACGGTTTTCTTCCAGCTCCAATATCCATCCTATCGCCAGAAACCTTTGATCTCGAGGATTCATTACGGCTAGCCGGTCTACCTGCACTGCTACGTGATGGCGGCCGACTACTGCTGCTTGGCGGTCTGCCAGTACCTCCACTGCTGGGAGGTCTACCCTGACTGTTACTGCTCGGGGGCCTACCTGCACTGCTGCGGCTTGGAGGCCTCGGTTGTTTGGCAGGAGTTGATACTGCAGCGCGACCGATGTTAGGCATTGAACGCTTCATCCTCAACAATTGGGCATTGGTTGTCGTACTAGTGCTAGAGATATTTTCCTGATTAGACCCTTTCAACGTCCGCAATGACTGTTTCCCCCCCAAAGCCCTCTGTCTTTCCGTATAGGTGCGGGAATGTGGTATGGGTGGGGGAGGAGGAATATTCAATCCAAATGCATCTTTTCCAGACCATTTCGATTCACTAATCGAAGTTCCGCTAGACCATCGATTGCGATTATCCGGTCGTTTTGAAACTACTGCAGGTTGGTTTTCTCTCTCAGCCACAGGCTCCAATATTGGTATTGGCGGTGCCAACGTCGGATGGCCGTGAAGCAGTCTATTACTTCTTGACCCCGTTCCGGCAGAGGGCGTGCTCTCCGTCGCTGATTTGTTTGTTGTGAAAGTCAGGCTCATTGCAGATCTCCTAACGGGACTTGTTTTCCTTGTGGATGGCTTGTGTTTAACGTTCCGATTTAACGTTAATTTCCTTGAGTCAAATACCTCCTCTCCTTCTCCGATTTCTATGCCTTCGAAAAATTCTTCCTTGGATGCTAGGTCTTCTTTCGTTTCGAAACTGGTGCTAGCATCCATAGGATACGATGCACGTTTTTGCCGTTCGAGAATTACTGCAAGATCTGGTAAATTTCCTGAGGGCAACTCTAATCCATCCAATGGTGCCTCGTCTTCGCTCTCGGCAGCAACGCTCGAGACGCTTGGCGAGATTATGGACGAGCCAAGTCTACTTGTTCCTCCAAACCTCGTTCCCAAACTACCACCCTCTGCCCAATCTTCAGAATCACTATCCAAAACCTGAACCTGATGCCTATTACTTTCACCCGTCTTAATATTCAGTTGTAGAGGAGCATCCGCAGGAAATTCGAAATCATTCTCAAAATCGTCGTCTACTGAGGGGGATCCTCTGGTGGCTGATTCGGACAAAGGCGGTGTAAGCAAGAGGGAAGCGTTAGACTTTTGCTGCTGGAGAGTATGTCTAGCGGGCGAGAGCCTCGGAGTCGGGAGATCGTCGGTATCAGCAAAAAAGTCATCACCATCTTCCACCTCACGATACTTATTCAATTGTGCTGAAGCCGACTGTGGAAGTATCACATTCGTCCTAGACGGAGGCCTCGACTCCGATAAAATCTGCTGCAGTGTATCTGGAAACTCGAGACCCCCCTGACCACGAACTTTTAGTGACATGCCCGAAATGGGTAGTTCCAAGTCTTCCCCCCAGTCATCATGGGTCGCAATTTTCCTGGCTTTCTTCGTTGTCCCTAGCCTCTTAATGGTTCCTCCAATTAGCGCAGACGAGGGGACATTTTCAGGTATCGGTATTCCTGCATTAATAGCGGAGGCGATCGCGGCCGCTGGTGATTCATCTAGGAGAACCTGTCTCTCGTGATCCCCACTTTCGGGGGAGTCAAAGTCATAGCTGCTGGACTGCATGGACATTCGCGATGATATGGATTCGCGACGATCGCGGTTGTCAAGGCTTGTTCGCTTGTTATTTTTGGGAGAAGATGTGGGTAGAGGTTGTGTAAAGGTTGGATCAATTCCGGCAAAGTCGGGGTCATCGTCCCAACATTCCATTCTATCGGCTTGACCATGCAAAAACTGTGATGTGTCCATGGCGATTTTTTGCGTATGCGTGTGTATGTGTACGTGTGATATCAGCAAAGGGTGTCGCTCTGCTATCGCGCCACTGCACGGTACGGTACTAAAATCTCCTAAGTGCTGTATGTGTGGGTACGTGTATTGTGATGATTCGAGATGCGTGCGATTGGTATGATTTTGATTTTTCCCCCCTTGAAGGACTTGACTTTATTTTACAGCGTTGATGTGCCCTCTAAAAATGGTGTTTCGGTCGAAAGAGAAGAAAATTCGTTTCAGAGTCGTGTCGTGATACAGATCGTCAAAAAAAAATATGCAGTCGAAAGAAAAAAACAAGAGGTAAGAGAGGAGTCAGCAAAGATATATCGGTTGTGTTGATGATTATTCTTTCGTTTCGGTCGTGAAAAAAATGATGAAATTTTGTAGGGTATCGGTTTGTTGTACAGGTGAATATAGGTCGAAGAGGTAAACCGTCTGGGCGGTTGTCTCCCTTCTTGTGTTGTGTATGGGTAGCAGGTTGCGGGTTTTGGTGGTTTTTTTTTGTTTACCCGTCTTCACGCGGGTGAGAAGTCGCTTGCGAGCACCTCACCGCTTTTCTTCACAGAAAGTGGCAGCCAACAGTTAGGGTGATCGCATACCTAGGGCACAGGTGTAGCAGCCCTATTGAAGTCTCGAGGAATGTATGTGTGATAGATATGATGGATTCGAGATTGATGAAATAATACGTAAAATGTACCAAATGAGGGAAGGAGGCAGGAGGGGGGGAAAGAGAGGGGCGAAGATGGTATCGTAGCTGAGCTGAGACGGAAATGGAAAGGGACCTGGGCGATGAGATTGTGGCACAGGGGAATAAGTGAAGGAGGACAGTTACGTAGGGGAAAAAGAAGGACGAAGGAGGTTGGATAGGAGGCCGGTCACAAGGATTCTGTGTAAAGGAGTATGTTTGGGAAGAGAAGCGTGTTATTTTTGTGTGTGCGGAGGGAGAGTTCTTCCACTGCTGTTTATGATACTTGTATTGAGGGGTCGCCTAACCGAGAGAGGTCTGCCTCGCATTTCCACTTCTGGAATACAATTCTTGGCGCGTGATAATTCATGATTGTGATGAGCTTCTCCCGCAACGACATGCGATGCTAGTAACTCTGCGCTTTCTTATCTATGCACACCCTCCTTCAACCCACTTCACCTCATTCCCATAACAAACCTCAGCTCTTACACTAAATATTGGCCCGTCCACTTTGCAGTTCGGCTCATACAAAGTCGATAGCTGGGAACCCGACAAAACTGAAACGGCTGACAGAATAAGCGAGTCGAGCTCTCCAACACTCCGACAAGAGTAACTCCCAATCCCTACTATATCTCCTAGGTAGCAAGGCTACTGTGGTATATATACCGGTGCCGGAACCCGGTTGCCCACCCCTCGTTTCGCTTCCCCTCATTCCCTGGTGCAATTATCCCTAACGGTCATCTGAGAAAAGAAAAAGCACTTATCAATCCGCCTTAAATCTCATACCATACCCCGCACCATAGATTGGGTACCAGCTCTGGAGAAAGTGCCCACGAGATAAGCATATGGTAAGCGCAGTGCAAGCGGAAATAGAGCTAAAGTCCTCCCAAGGATCTAGCATGCTCGAGACACCGAGTATGTAATGTGAGTTTCGATGACTCTTATTTGTCTTCTCGACCTTTCTCTTGATAATTGCCGGGTTAGGGATTTAAACCTGGGCAGTGGGGTGAAACACTTAACTCCCACTGCTTACCAAAATGGCGTATCATACTCGTTCTTCCAATAAGGAGCTGAGCATATCGGGAACTGCAGAGTAAATCACTGGTCAGCAATTCATACTTGCTGTCCAAAGGGTGAATGGGAAAACATGGACCTGGGCTCAACCAGATGCGACCGGCATGGGGACGGGTTGAGTAGGTGAACCAATCCAGAAACTTATTTTGAACGCCAGAGCCGAATTTTGACTATCATATATGCCACCCACCCGACAAACCGGCTATCAATCCAATAGGCCAGGGAAAGATATCGTAATGTCTCTCTCGGCGTGTTTCATGCCCATCCATCGGATAAGCCCACCACTACCGTACGGCTAACTATCTTGCCCCTGTTGATCTTCCCTTCCCTTCACCTTCGCTCGGGAGAGACATCTCGTACCGTCGATCAAAGGCAGAAGTGCAACTATCCTAGGGTCGTTTCATCTAGTCTTCTTCTACTTGCCACAATTTTTTTGCCCCTTACTACTAACTTATGTAACCCAATCTGCTGCGCTACTACCTTATATCTTCCCTGGGAGCGAGTGAGCGTGACGGTACCACCGCTTTACGGCGTCCCATGGGAGAAAAGGGTAGAAACCGAAAGGTCGCGATCGTGATACAGGGAAAACGGGGAATCCTATCCGATGTCAATTTCCCAATCCCAGATCGCCAATAACCACCATAGTCGATAAGTTACCATAATGTATTCGTGTTGAAGAAAAAACACTCGTTCCCGAACTATGGATAGCTGGCCGCCTAATAGGAAGTTGGGGTTGGCCTTCTGCACGTATCGTTGGTTGTGTTTGGGTAATGTTACGTTGGCGATTCGATAGGTTTGCTAGCATGGTTAGCGGCTAGAAAGCAAATATGTTGGAAAGGGGTTTCCTACGGCTAGGTGTTTGTGGGATGCGAGCTGGGATGTGAGGGTTGCCTTACCGGTAGGTAGGTATGATAATATTATGTAGGAAGCGGGGCCTTTGGTTTGGTGGAGATGGCGCATGCATTTGCTTCCCCATGTCTCATATTCTTTGAACGCTCAGGCACAAACTATATAACTGGCAGTGAGCGATGCGACGCTTGGAATGAACTTGCGTCGATTACGATTCTGCTCCACAGCGGAGGGATTCCTGTAATCATAGCATATCACTCGAGCGTATATCCAGCGATTATCTTGCTGAAAAACAACCATATCCGGTGTGATGGGTTAAAGTATGAATTATTGTAATCGCCATCGTCAAAGATATCCGTCGCTAGCTAGATACATAAAAAAGAAAGAGAAATGTTTAAGGGTAAGCGCCGCTGAGATTAAGATCCGAGATAAGAGTAAACCCATGTGCTCATTAGAAAGCTATGCAAACACTGTGCGACAGCGCGAAGATTGCGATGGTACAGCTGGTTTTGTTTTTCACAACACACCGACCCCAATCTCATAAGATGTATAGGGTTTTCCACCCACAACTGCCATCCGCTTCATATACACCCCCGCCAACCATGCTTTTTCAACTAACCAAATGCCCGCATGGCCAGGCTTGAGAAATGATAATGGGTCTTCCCAGACAGATGAAGGGGAGAGGGGAAAAAAGCCCAATCCATGCATCATACTACCACCTCATCCATTCAAACATGAAAAAGGAACGAAAAAAAGAGTGAAACAAAATGAAAATGCGAAACCGTGTGAGCAATCCCTATCGCCCACTTTTGAAGAGTTGCAATCTACCTAAGCAGGAAGTTGAATAGCAACCAAACGAGAAACAATAAAAAAAAACATCCAAGAAACACTACACTTTATAGAATGTAAGCCGTATAGATATGGTAAATGGATAATGAAAAGGTGTCAGCGCTAGCGATAGCCATATCTGCTGTACCTTGGCGCAGCAGCGGAAGGGGCGCCGGAGCGGTTGTACATCGGATTGCAGCAGAGGATCCCGACACGGGAGCCAAACTTACTCCCACGTAAGGAAACCATGTGTTTGCGGATATGGGTCGCGACTTGTTCTCTATGAGTAGAAGAAGCATGCTGGAGTATCCATTGAACCAGGTAATTTCCATACTGGTCGCTCGCAACTAAGGGAGTTAGTAGTGGGAAAAATAGAGCAGAAAAGGTGAAACATACTATCAATAAGAGGAATGCGAGGGCGGTCAGGGCGCCCTTCGCACACGCGGTCAAGGTACCGATCGAGAAATTCGTTTCCGCCTATTTTGAGACATTTCTCGACAACTTTGGATGCGTATTGATCCATGCTATACTCAGCGGCATTGAGGACAACCGTATCAACAGCTCTAGAACGGTCAAGAGGCGCCCCATGCTCGCTAAACTTGGGTCAGAAATGTGAGGTAGGTTGAAAGAGAGGAAGCCCACCAAATGTGTTGAATACACCAGTTCCCAAACTGACCATGAGCGATCAGGTCAATCGACTCGAGGACCTCGTTGATACAGGGGCGCTACAGATGTTAGTATGTACAACCAATGGATATCGCAGCAACCCATAGGTATAATCTGAGTTACTAACCTTATCCTCTTCGAGACAATTTTCAAAGATATTCTGGACAACAAGGCTGCCAGTTTCTCCCAACGCAACTTCATGCCACATGCCTCTCAAGGACTCATTTACGTACTTCATGATTTGAGGCGGGGAATCTGACCACCTGAGTTCGAAAAGTTTCTGCCAGACGTGACAAGCGTCTAAAATATTGTTAGCACTGGAAAACTAGGGGAAATAGTCACTGCTCACATCTATGAATGACCGTTTCTGGGATGCGTCGAAGCAATTCGGCGACCATCGTTGCCTTGAAGTCCTCAGAAACACAATCAAAGGCCTTCTGAATAACATGACAGCCAAACGCATCCATGCTCAAGTTGAGGGTATTTCCACGGATAGCACTGGCTATGCCATCTATCTGCTCCGGAGTGCCATGCTCAAAGCATCGCTGAACAAGAAAGTTGCCAAAGCGGTTGATCATAAGGGGATACGCTTGAGCTACAATTGAATCGACGATCGCATGTTTCTGTTCGGCCGTGCCAATCTTAAGCTTCTGTTGGAGAAAGATGGAAGCTTGTTGATCATTATTGCAAACGATCTTATCGACAATGTATTTCCAATTACAGTTGACACTGCGTTCGAGAAGCCGCCGGTAGTTGAGTGGCTCGATGGTGGATACATATGTCTGCCCCTATTTTTGCAGTTTCCTTTAGCCTCAAACACCTACTCAAACCGACAAAACCCAGAAAACTTACTTGAGATTGGCCCCACAGTGTGCTGCTACCACTAGAGCCTGAAGTAAAATCAGCAGTAGAGTTAGGGGAAAGTGGAGTGCCGATTGGGCTCGGAGTATAACCTGTGCTCGAAGAAGCTTTGTTTGAACCTCCATGCTCAAAGTTGGAGCGGACAAATGGGGTAGCCTGTGGGTTGTAAGAAGAACGACGGCCTGTGTAACGACCATCCCCCGTGACAGGTGGACCGCCGCTCTGTAGACTAAAGGAGCGGGGTGTATTATTCCAGATTCGGCTTCCCCCATAGGCATCTGCATCGACCGAGCCCTGGCGCAGTGCATTTTGGTATTGCATTTCGCCATGGGTAGAAACCTGCAAAGATGCCAATTGGGGCATACTAGATTTTGGGGAGGTAGCCCAAATACCGGATCGAGCGTACGGGCCAGTCGAGAGGGGCTGTTGATGGAACTCGGTGGAATGATCGGTCATCGATTCATCATAGGATGCTGATGGCCAGGAGTCAGCTCTGTGTGTGTTTGGGCGAGTAGATTGTGCAAAGGCTGTTTGCAAAGAAGTGATAGCTTGCTCCGGGACATCACCTCCCAGTGAAGACCCATCCTCCCCCGAAGGGGTCAAGACTTGGTCCAGCGTGTGCTTTGCTATCCTTGTGTGGACAAGCTCGTCGCTCATGGCCGATATCTTACTTTGGGCGACCTTTAACTCTGATTGAAGACGATTGACTTCGTGAAAGTGAGCGGCGGGGCGAAAGCCATAACTATCAGAGTTATCAACTGAGACAGGATTCTGAACGGTGTTGAAGGGACCAGGGCTGGGATCTGCTGCCACTTGGATTGAAGGGCTGGTGTACGCCGAAAATGCAGGATAGTTATCTGACTTGACCCTGAAAAGCTCCTTCTGCTGATGCTCAAGAACCTCTCTTTGTTGATCAATCAACCGTTGCTGCTCAGCGAGCTTAGAGAGTAACTGCTGCATGCTCGCCGTATCAGAGGCTTCCGGGAGATTTGGCTTTGGAGCCTTGTTGTGACCATAGCCCTAGTCAGCATTAGTATCATTCTCTAATATTTATCAAAGCAGTCAAACGAACATCGTCAGAAATATTTTGACTCAGGGCTTGTCCGAGCCCCTCCTTCCCGGTAGTTGGTGACAAAGTCAATTCATCTGTGATTTCCTTAGAAGGAGGGGACTCGGGCTGCCTATTGTGTGAACACATTTTTTCGTGACCAAGAAAGTGCAGGGGAGTTTTGTGACTTAACCTTTTTGGAAACTCCGTGTTGACTGACCCCTCCGGGGGATCCTTCACGAGTCATGAATTCAGTTTCGCCAGACCCGGCCGACTGGGTATTATTGCTTTCATTAGGCATAGTGATTTCCGGGGTCACTGATGCTCTAAAAAGTATTAAGGACTGCTTTAGATGTAGAGTTTCGAAACAGTGCCAAGTAGTGAGAAAGGAGTGGACCCGGGTGTTTGACAGAAAAAACGAAAATTGGGTAAAAAGCAAGGATTGAGGATGGAGTGAAGAGAGGAAAGAAAGGGTGGAGAGGAATGATTGTTTTGGGGGGGAAGAGGAGCGGAGGAGGAGTGGAGGTGTTGAAGTATTGAGGGTTGTTGGTAGAGAAGAACAAACGAACGAAGTACGAAAGATGAGTACGCAGACGGCAGACGTGAGTGGGTTATGAAAGTTGAAAAGCGACGCGTAGTCGAGTATTGCTACTCACGAAGATCAGCTATTGCCTCCCATTAAATTTCCGTCGTTCCTCGCTTGAAACCCCCCCCGAGGCAGTAGTTACGCTTCAGAAGAAATCTTCCAGGAAAAGTCAAACAATTGCTGTTAACCCCACAAGAAGAAAACATAAACTACTACTGACTGCCCCCCCCCCAACCCCCTCCACGGACATTAGCCCACCTTTTGCAATCCTAACATCCACCTCAACCCCCAAACTCAGCAGCGTCCCACCCACGAAAGTCCTGATATCATGCGTGACACTAACATCAATCTTACACTCGGCACATCCCAAATTGACTACCAGAGGCGCAAGCTCATGAGTAAAATACCACCACGCAAGTATTGTCGATTATGCTCGGAGCCCATTTTGCGCAGACAGCATATACTAACGCCGTTTCCTTCTTGTACAATTCTATATCTCGCACGCCCATGCTTGAATCTGAACTCCAGACTAGCAATGTGTTGAGCAGAAGGTATCCCAATTAGTATTATTGAATGATACACTTATCGATACTTATCGTTCCATGGGAGGAATTTGACGGCGTGGAGGACTGGGATGGAGTCATGTTGCCCTACCACTTATCGGAAGAGAACTAGAGAACGTGGTATTCTCCGATGCTAAGCTTTAGAACCCACCGTGAGAGGGGAGTGGGTCAGCATCCTGCCGTACTTCTGTAAGGTTGTTATTACTGGTTGGAGTATTGTTGACGATTTGTAGATTGTATAAAGAGCAGGGGTACTGTGCTTACTACAAATGCCGATCTAAAAAGAACCAAGCAAGTCCCAGATTGACGGTAGGGATACCTGACCCGCGCATTGGGATAGCGCGAGCGGTGGGAGTAGTACTGTTTGTAGCTGTATTGTTAGCAAGAAGGTTGGCGGTGCGTGCGTAGGGAATGTTGTAACAGCTCGAGGTTATCAAGGACAACAATGGATGGGTCATCCCGCCTTCTTGGCAGCAGTCACCAGTGTGCGCAGAATTGGCGCTCGACCACCAGTATGGTACCGCGCCGCTAGCATACAGTGTTAGAGGGATCTAGCAGTGAAGATAGACCCTACCGAAAACGCGGTAATAAGAGCAACAGCGATAAACCAGGAAGGGCGAAATGCAAGGGCTGGCACATAGCATTAGAGACCGGGACCGTTAACACCCCTACCACCCACTTGTGTAGTAGCTGTCCTCACAAAGGGTGTCAAGATGTAAACCATGGCCAAGGCAAAATCTAAACTACAATGGGTATGATATAAAATACGGGTATAAAAGGCGGTATACTGGTAGTGTTAGGAGTGGGTTGGATTGATTTGGGGCAAAATTTTCTGGTACTGTACCGTGCTCGTACTGTGCAGCGCAACCAAACTGTGCTCCCATCGAAATTATGTTGCGATGGCGAAGTATCATACCTGAGAGTCTCGCTCGGACGTTGAAGTTGCCTCTTCCAGTAATGTCTGCCGTATTCCTTCCTTTTACAGCACTCGTACTTGTCTCGGCTGAGGGCTGAAGGATAATTGCATAGTCTAGTAGTCTACTGTACCAGAAGAAGCACCCATTCTCCGAACGTCTCCTTCTCAAGTGTATGATACCAGCCTCTAGTTTACAGAGACATTATTTATGCACCGTATCATACTATTTTTATTCCTGAGCCTATCTCTCTACCCACAATCCTTGAATACTATGACAATTGGGGGCAAGTTTGGTCTCGGGCTGTCGCCCACTTGTCTTCGGATTAGCCCCGCATCCTGTCTCAGCGCGGGACCTCAAAGATTTTCAGAGGTTCACGTTAAAGTCGGTCTGTACGAGTACTCGCACTCTCTTGCTAGGCATATTTGGTAGTGGCCATGTTTCACGACTACAGTACTGTACTGTAGATCCCTCTAAATAATAATTAATAATCATATCCTAGACCCCCGAACCCTTGAAAATTTCCTGTTTCTCCTGTTATCGTCTTCAGCAATCAACGCTTTTGTTAGTTACCATACTGGAGCCTCGCAGTTGTGCATACGGGTGCGGTCGAGAGATATATCAATCACATGGTCCTGATACCTGTAATAGAAAATCTGGCTAACCGTTCTTGTTGCAGTGTTCCCAGATTGGGCACGTTATGAATATTATCGATCGGCGGTACAAGTCCATCAGGGCGCGCTTGCTACCGTAAATACGCCGAGAACATACCGGTATGAGAACTGCTGTGGTAACATAAAGCACCGGATGCCTGGGGCGGTGATAGGGGTAGTAAGATATTTTCGAGGTTTTAGTAGCCCGGGGGATTCCCGAGTACTATACGAAGCTGGTATTATAACAAAAATCGCTGGTACTCGAGTAGTGTAAGCATGCCGCGCCAAAAGAAGCGGTATGCTTACACATGAAGCCGCCGTTCGACCAACTCCAGTATAGTCTAACCACAACCCACAACGACACCTACCCGCTCTGTTCTGTATCATACCGTTGATAAACGCCCCGGAACAGGGACTTATGGGTCCAGCAGTGGAGAAAAACTTGCCTGCGCGCGATGTGTTGATCCCGAGGATACTAGATTTAGCATGATTATTATCATAGAAAAACGCCTAAGCAAAGCCCACCAAGACCTTAACCCGGACTTCAGGGCGGTGTTCTTAGGATTGTTTGGGCCTTGATGGGAAAAACTCCTCAGGAAACCCCTAACCCGCCATCCAGCGGCGAAAATTGGATTTCTTGGCATTCTCCATTTTGGTCTATATATACCGACCATCCCCGACCTCCTTCTCCTCCTTTTCTCCTCAGCTCTCTTTGCCTTTTGGTAAGCCTACAACAACTTCCTTCATTGTTATGATACAAATGCTAACTATCGGACAGGCTTAGATCAAGTGTAGTATCTGTTCTTTTCAGTTTAATCACTGAAACGGCTCTCCGGGGCCTGTTCTTTTGGTTAATCATATTTTTGTTTACTCGGGGGATCCTGCCTCTGGCCTGCCATGCTTGACCCCCACTGTGTCACCGGTATCGCACTGTCTCCGGTTGATGCGAGTGGTTTTGTTTGTTATTTTTATCTTCGTTTCTGGCCTTCGTGCGAGAAACTTATATAAGGATATATCACATAACCTCATTCCCGCTTTCGGTGGAAATTTCATGTCGCTCAGCTCATTTACGATACGGGGTGTGAAGAGAAGTCGGGTGGACATATTATCACCAGCTCCTAAGCCATTCAGCCAACGAGAGGGCATGTTTAAATAATATTTCTCACGTCGGAACCCTTGCACCCTCCGGACTCTTTCCCCCATTCAGTAAAAAAAGAGTGACCATCGCTGGCCATTAACCTCAAATTAGCCTGACTTATGCTCACCTCCTAAGTACGCGCCACCACCAGAGGCTTGCCCTCCTAAGTATGGCTTTCGGTGGAAACAAAGCAATTGCTCTCCTCTCGGGCCACCTGATTGGAGAATTTTGTTGACAGCAATCCCTCATAAATCAGAAAGAATAGAAAGCGCCATGCTACTCCCCACCGGCCTGATGTTAGCTAGTAGCTTTGGGTGCTCGAGCACTATAGGCAGTGTATATGATTGGGCCAAAATCAACATCAAGTCTTTCGTGGGGAGAGAGCTTCTTCAATCTTGATAAAAGGTACTTTTCGAATACAACAATGGTATCATACACGGGATACGAAAAAAATAAAGAAGGTCCCACCTTATCGTAGTCTACAATACATTGGCTAATCCCCCCTGGAAGTGAAAAATAATGAACGAGAGAAGGCAAAGTGAGCGGAGATGCAACGTGGGGAAAGGGAACTAAAAAGAATAATGAATAAGCCTATCCAAATACTGGAAAAATCGAGCATTTGATTTTCTCGCCCATCCGTTCCGGCCCCAACCTGTCCGTTCTATCCTGCGAAAAAGGTATGATAAAAATAGAAAGCATACACCCTAAAATATCTATGGGGGTACCCTTTGTTGGATGCCCTTGCTGAAATAAATTATTACCTTGATGTTTCGTGACGCCAAATCTTTGCTCCTTACATGAGCCTATCGAAAGCGGGTATCAAAGTTTGAGCTGGATCGAGAGAGTTAGTGATGATTCCATTGAAGTAATTTGGGTAAGTAGGCTAGTGAGTACCAAGCCAGAAAGAGAATACAAGCTTAGGCCCTGTCATCAAGAGCTTGGGAGTGAGGCCCTTGAAGAATGCGGTAGGCCCCTCATGCTTTATCATGTTGGAGACGATCCGGAAGCCACTCTCGGGGTTTTCAAAGTTCCTACATACCATTCTTGTTAGACGAGTGGGGCAGTGGGGGATCACAGGAGAGGGGCGGGTTTAAATTACCTGTTTTGGATACGAGTCTTGATGACGTCCAAAGGAGCAGAGACGACGAGTGACGCAGACGCTCCGGCAATGGATGCGATGAAATTTTGTCCCCAGGTTGCGGCATTGTAGTCGGTGAGTCCCAACATTTCCTTTGCGAACGCACTACCACCGAAGAGCTACACAAGGTCTGTCAGCAAGGCGTTGGTGCATATATATAGGAAGTGAGAATTGACGAACCGCAAAACTTCCAGGGGCGTTTCTGGCAGCGGTCCACCCCCATCCTCTGTACAAACCTAATCCCTCGTCGGAGATTATCTTGAAGAGACCCCGTCCTCTGAATGCCTCTGGGTTTGTTTGGCGCTTGATCTTGAGTACGTCAAGAGGGAGAAGAACAATTTCTCCGATGCCAATCAAACTAACAACGCAGCTGTTTCAGCCCTCAAAGTGCTTTAATGTATGAAAAGAGCTGAGATAGTAGTAACAAACCTTCCGGCGGTGGCATGCAATATAGCCTTTCCACTCCCCCTTCCAAAAGCCCTGTCAAACTTCTCACCATGGTGTGTGGAGAGGTAATCCCTCACAAAAGGCTGACCACCATACTTATAAACTCTTTGCGACACCTGTTCCGCACCACACGATCAACTTTCACCGTCAGCGTGAAGAGGAAACAAACTTACCTTATACCCAGCAGCATACCCCAATCCAGGGAACAACGAGAAAAACTTGCGGCCGAGAGGAGCGGCGGAATATTCCTTAAAAATGACAGTGTTCAATTGTGACACAGAGGCGATCTTTCCATGATTGCTCATCAACCGCTTCGCAATGGTATCGACCTTGCAGAAAGAAGGTCAGCTTTCTTGCGATACCACTCACGACAAATCCCACTTGAATAAGTGAGAATATAGGCAATGACCCACAGGGTGGAAAACCGCCAATTCCGCAACACCAGCACATCCTGAAAGGCCGGATTAGAATTGATCCCCCAAAATAAGTCGGATAAGAAGAGAAAGGGGGACTATATCTCACCAGAACCGAGTAACCTAGCAATGCCGGACTCCTTCTTAACGTCCCTCGCTGAGGTATTGGAAACGAGTGCCGGAGACATTTTTCAACGCCGAATTAAGATCGTAATAGAGGGAGAATTAAAGGCAAGGACTCAACTATTCAAATAGATAGATTGAAGAAGGTTTGTAATGGGTTTGTAATGGGGCTTTTTTTTTTCGGAGGTGGGAGGAGGTCGGTCATTTTGAGGAAAAAAAAATTACAGTTGGTTTTATCCCGTGACTTGGGAATTTTTGAGTCGTGCCAAGACAGCGATGACATGCGACAATTAACTGGTAAACTATCATACCGGTAAAGCACCCTTGTCAATCCCTGAGCACCAGTTTCGCGCAATGAACCTGATACCACAACCGTTCTGTACTCGAGTACCGTAGAGTGCTTGCCACGAGATTAAGTTGTAGGACGGGGATGCAACCGCTTTGTCCAGCAATGTACTCGTACTAGTACTGTACGAGTACTGTACAGTACATATACGAGTACTCGGGGGTAGGAAAAAGTATGGCAAAGTCTTGGCTGCCAAACACATATGATAGTTCGCCATACTTTCCCTTACCCCCTAGGTAAAAATACGATGACAACCCAGCCCCAATACAGTGCAGAGATCTGTATTTCCATGGCCCCCCTTTGCTTGGGAACACGATATCTGGTAGTAGGACCTTTCATTTTGGCTGGGACTTAGACACAATTTAGAGTGTGGGGTTGAGAGTTTGACGTTTTCGGGATGGTGCAGCAGGTTACGTACCGTATCATCTCCACCCCATAACTTAATCTCGCAGCGAGCATCCTCAAAGGTATTCTGTTCAGTTAATATTCTCTCAGTCAAGAGGAGCGATATAATAAAAACCACAAGGTCAGCCTCTATGGTCACCCAGGCCCTGCTACTCCAGTAGCAGGTGAATGATCGGGAGTCTAATAGTCTACCAGTACCAACTTGAACGGCTACCCCCAAGCTCCCCGATCCCAATGCGACGACAGAAAATAAGAGCTATATTCCCCAATAGCACGCCCCACAGCGGTTCATCTCGGGAGGACGCGAACCATCCCAGTCCTAGGCGTGGGAGCGAGGATCCTTCAAGGGACTAGTGTGTTGTCTCCATATGGGTAATATTTTCAATAGGATGGATTGCCGTACTTGAGTTGATATCCTTCCAATTTGAGGGTTTTGGGGACCCAAGAGAGCGGTACCCAGTGGCTGATTTCGGCGCTGTGGACTCTTCATCAACTCAGCACCAGTTTGCATGCTCCCCCCCGCGCAGAGTAGAGCACTCAGCGGCATTCTTGACTAGCTTCGAGACTTCCCGTGCTCATTGCTTGGCGGCCAACAACACTGCAATAGGTATTATTAGCGCACCGTAATATAAAGCTGATGGACGTACTCGAGTAGTGTGCATGACCTGGTCGTTGTCGATAGTCTTCCTCTACGTACGTCTTGATTCGGAAACAAAACGAAATATTTTTTATAAAACACTACTCCACTATCATCCTCACCATCCAAACCCCGCAAATCAACCTCTACTCTCGAATAGCGGTTTTAGGGGTCTGTATGCTCTTCCGGTTTCTTTCCTAGATCCGAGCTACGGATGGTGTTCACATTTTGTGTATGATATCATACTGAGAGAAATAGAATGAGTTACTTTACAGTGGTGAATGGCTCCTTTCCCACTTTTTCTTTTTTTAGGAACACAGTGCAAAAGGGGCTTTTTCCTAACATGAGAGCTCTTATCACAAGTCCTGGTGTTTGGTTTATTAGCCAGTAACATTTCTCAACCTTGATACAGTTCAGCGCAAGGGGATATTCTCCATCGACCATACAGACAAGACGAGCTGGGCGTATTATACTCCTACTGGTATCCAAAGTCAATTTCGGATAAACCACCATGAGCCAGTAACAGAAAATACCCAAACCGGTACTATGCCCCCGAGGAGAAATAGTAGTAATATTTCCCAGGTTTACAAGCCACTGTGCACTCATTGCACCGTAAAATTTGCTGTCCCTGATACATTTACACACATACCGGTACGATAATCACTTACAAGGGCACACAACAACAACGAGCAGCGATGCGGGGCATCTAGTATCGGGCCGGTCGGCCAGTCATCCGACTCCACCACCCCCAGCTCCAGCTGCAAGTAACTTAGGACAACATAAGGAAAAGTGTGACGCTTTTTTGTGTCCCGTTACATCGAATCGTTATGCAGGGACCGCAATACCGGAAAGTCACATCCACTTGTAAGAACCTAAAAAAAAACAAAGGACAGAGGGGGCTCCTGGAAGGTCAGAAGCACAGTATTGGTCTTAGTAACCGATTCTATAACGCCCTAACCACGATACCACTCTTAGAAATTTTGGATCCTTTATCCTTCACCGGTCTCGGCATTAGAATACTAAATTACTGCTGATGGAGTTCGCCGAACCCTCGGGCACCCATACTGGTACCGGTATGTGACCCGCACCTTTTTTTTTTTTTCCCCAGCCGTTCCTGGTGCAGATTACTGTACGCCATCACCGGAACCAGGGACGCGAAGCCTAACTTTCTGATGCCCAGGTGGGCTTTTTTTTTCTCCAAAAAATTTCCGATGTCCACACCCCTGAGCTGTGGGCAAACTTCAACCCCCCAGCACAATATGCTTTCTTGTTCCTTCCACCTTCTTCGCTCGAACCCTTCTTTGCCCCAGCTACCACCGCAAGCAAGTGTTTCTCACTTTCCATTTACAGACATGCATTTCCGATCACTCGCCACCCTTTTCCTACCAAGCCCAAGCACCCCCGGTAAAGCTGTCTCTACTGATACAACAAAAAAAAAAAAAAAAAAAAAGCCCCCCACAGAAAGTAGGCAATACGCAGAAAAACACATCCCATGTAATAAAGTCAAAGAAACAAGCAACGCTATCCTAGAATCTATTTTGAAATTCCAACCTTCTCGAGAATTTTGCTTCCAGCAGTAGAAACCGGAAACTGTTTCTTCTCTCCAAAGATGCCTAAGAGTTGTCTCCAGACAACACCGGGCTCCTGCGAAGCGTCGATACCCTTCCATATGTTCTTCCCCTTGTAGTATTCGACGACAGGCTTAGTCTGTTGGTGATAGGTGACAAGACGCTTCTTGAGAGTTTCGGCGTTGTCGTCAGACCGTTGAATTAAGGGCTCGCCAGTGATATCGTCCTTCATAGACTCCTTCGGAGGATTGAAGATTCTATGATAGGAGCGCCCAGAAGCGGGGTGAACAAGACGTCCAGTGATGCGAGCAACCAGGAGGGCATCGTCAATCTCGAGCTGGACCACATGATCCAGCTTCTCGCCACGGTTGGCAAGCATAGAATCCAGACGATCTGCTTGAGGAACAGTGCGAGGGAAGCCATCAAGAATGAAACTAAAAAAAAAAACTCTGTTAGACAAACAAAAGTGTTTCTACTACAGCTATGGTTGAAATACCCATTCTTGCATTCAGTATTGTTGTCAAGTTCGTTCTTGATCATACCAACCATGATCTCATCACTGACCAAACCACCCTCGTCCATGATCTTCTTTGCCGCACGACCGAGAGCTGTCTTTTTCGCGACCTGGGAGCGAAGCATGTCGCCAGTAGCCTAGAACAGTCATGTTCATTAGTATTGATAATAGCCCTCAGAATATTTGCATCGCAAGAGAAAACATGCCAGGTGGCAGATACAAAATTTCTCTTTGATCTTTGGAGCCTGTGTGCCCTTGCCTACATTTTACCCCCACGTTAGCCGAGGCGTGCGTTTTGAGGGCGGTTTGCCAAAATAAACTTGAGACCCAGCTTTATACGAAAAGAAAGAAAAAAGGCATCACCAACCAGCACCGGGAGGCCCCATAAGAATCATCCTAAGTGAATCGACTGGAGCATCCGCCCCGCTGCCGGGATCCCCAGTGATGCTTAGTTCGAGTTTTTCTATCCGTTCCTGCAGCTTTTTGACCAAGTCCTTGAGACTTGCAACATCTTCTAATGAGGGTGCCATATTTGGAATTTTTTGATTTTTTGAGTGGAGTTGAGTGGAGAGTGGAGAGTGGAGAGTGTAGCGTGTATGAGTGGAGTCGAAACCAGAAGCGCAATTGATAGAAAGGGACGGGCCCCGGAAGGACGGGACAGGCTGGAGAAATAAGTTGAGGATTTGAAGGGTTGGGGTTTACTTCGGTCTCACGGCCCAACATTGTCCTGATCTCCTCTGGTCCGACTACTGCCGAAAATATGCACAGAACAAAAAAATCGGCTTCAATTCTTCTCTTTTCTATTATCTATTGAATGGTTTAGTTATCCTATCGTTTTATCTTTACATCCCTTGGGCGGGGTGCTTCCGTGTCGCATACCGGTAGGGTTGTTGTTGGTGGGGCTCGAGCGTGATTGCGAGCCTCTCGACACCTCTCCAGCACTTCTGCCAAAGCATCTCGATACCCCCAACACCCCTCATTCAAAGCCCACTAATTCATCTCGGTCAACTAATATCTCATCCCGAAACTCCCCAATAGTATACAGCGATGCCTCCTACACTTGGTGAAGCTGTTCCTAGTACCACTGTCTCCATAGCCCCTCTCATTCTCCTCAGCGCCTGTGATCACTATGGTCGCTCAGCGAAGGGAACCAGGAGAAGAGTTGTCGGTGTATTGCTCGGTCAAAATAACGGATCAGATGTTAGGGTAACAAATAGTTTTGCCGGTACAGACTTCATTATTTCTTTCAGCCTGTTCTGATGGAGAGTTGATGTTGACGATGATGACTTGTCTAGTTCCGTTCGAAGAGGACGAAAAAGATCCGGCGGTTTGGTTCCTCGACCACAACTATGTTGAGTCTATGAACGATATGTTTAAGAAGGTCAACGCTCGCGAGAAGCTTATCGGCTGGTATCACTCTGGGCCTAAACTCCGTGCGTCTGATCTGGAGATAAACGAGCTATTTAAACGATACACACCCAATCCTTTACTCGTTATCATTGATGTGGAGCCTAAGGAACTCGGGGTACCTACCGATGCTTATTTCGCTGTCGAGGAGATCAAAGATGTAGGTTTCACCACAAGCTAGGGTTTCCGGTTGGGCTTGGAGATGGTGTTTAATATATTTTTGACGGTGGAAGTTTGGGTTGACATTGCTGCTGATAGGACGGGACCACTACTACGAAAACCTTTGTTCACACGCCATCGATAATCGAAGCTGAGGAGGCAGAAGAGATAGGTGTTGAACATCTGCTCCGCGATATCCGCGACGTCGCCGTTGGCTCGTTAACCACTCGGGTCAACTCCCAACTTCAGTCACTTCAAGGCCTCCATCTCCGTCTCCGGGATATTGGAGCCTACCTCGAAAAAGTTCTTAGTGGCCAACTCCCCGTGAATCACGCTATTCTTGGAAATCTCCAGGATGTCTTCAACCTCTTACCCAATCTTTCAACCCCATCCTCGACAGACGGCGAAGATGGCCACAACAACGATTTGGCCCGGGCTATGAGTGTCAAGACAAACGATCAACTGATGGCCATCTATGTCTCTTCGCTGATCAGGGCTATCATTGCATTCCATGACCTTATTGATAACAAAATCAAAAATCGGCAGGACCAAGCTGAAGAGAAGGAAAAGGAGGAAAAAGAACGTGCGGAGAAGGAGAAGAAGGTAGCCTCCTCTCCCGACAAGGACGGCCCTTCTGAGAAGGGGAAGGAGGAGTCGCCTAAGGAGAAGAAGAAGGGGGAGAAGGAATAGACATGACATCAATGTCATCAGAGCACTGTATGTCGAAACTTTGGGGAAGTAAATAAGTGCCCAGGCTTGGAGGTCATCTTCCTTGTAGCATAATGACTAGAATTCCGGTATATGGGCGCGCTTTTCATTAAAAAGCCTTTGTTTTGCAGATGCATATTTTAAATCAATCTTCACCATTTGGATTATCCCTACAGTAATTCAAGCGGGCTCCCAGCTTTTATCCTAAACTCGCCCCACAGTCGCTCCATTAAAGCGATCATCTAGGGCCACTAGAGAGCCTGCTTGCGCTCGAGTATGGCTTCAGAACGGGATAGCTAGAATAAACTAGTGATTTCTCGAGCAGATTACTCTGCGGTAGGCTATTGCTGTCTTCTTCTCCTAAAGGGGATGTACCGCATCGCAGGGAATAAACAGTTTAATGCTTTCGCAGGCATCTAAATTAAGCATCCCCGAATGATATCATGGAATGCCACCGCGAAGCCAAGCCAGCCCACCAAGCAACCCCCCCCCCAAAAAAAAAAAAAAAAAAAACATTTCCACCCCGCCCCCCGCTCAACCACCAACAACCTAGCAACTTTCCAATGACCACAACTCTGTCAGTGGTGGAGTCGGCCAAACGGCAGGCGGCCTACCGCGCCGTTGACGAGCACTTCCCCCAACACGCCCGTTTTGTCGGAATCGGTTCCGGCTCAACAGTAATCTACGTCGTCGAGCGGATCGTGCACCTCGGCCGCGATGTCACCGATTCCATCACTTTCATCCCGACCGGGTACCAGTCCAAAGAGTTGATCATCAACGGTGGCTTGAAGCTTGGTTCTATCGACCGCCATACCGAGCTTGACATCGCCTTTGACGGAGCGGATGAGGTGGATCCTTACTTGAACTGCATAAAAGGCGGAGGTGCATGTCTGTTCCAGGAGAAGCTTGTCGCGATTTGCGCGAAGAAGTTTGTCGTTGTCGCTGGTGAGCACTGCTTCCCTACCCCTCTGCAGAGACTACTACATCACGTTTGAATCGAAGCTGACAGGTTTTCTTCGAATCCGAGAAAAAAGACTACCGCAAACTCTCACCCTCGCTTTCAACCCACTACGCCCCCGGCATCCCCATCGAGGTCGTCCCTCCAGCCGCCACTCACATCTTATCCCGCCTAATCACTCTCGGCGCCGTCAACCCCGCGATCCGCATGGGCGGAACATCCAAAGCCGGACCATGCATCACCGACAACAGTAATTTCATAATCGACGCTCCTTTCCCCGACGGATTCATCCCCTCGCCTTCCTCCCCTCTATCTCATCCGCATAAGCCGCTCTCGCCAGCACTTTCTGCTACTCCCGTCAACGCTGCTGCTGTTGAGCGCGGCGGCGAGAGGGTCGGGGGCATGGATATTTTAGGGAAGGAGGGGGGGCATCCCGGCGCTGCGGTTGGGATGGGCGTCGGCAGTAACGAGAAGGTGGAGGAGTTGGCAAGGGCTCTAAAGAGTATTGTTGGCGTCGTCGAGCATGGGATTTTCTGGAATGGAGATCGGAAGCCGGTTGTGGCTTACTTCGGAATGGAGGATGGAAGGGTCGAAACCAGAGGTCATACATAGTCTAGTGGCTTGGTAATGTCGTATCGGCAGGCTGGCGTGTCGGACATTGGATCAGGGTGTCTCTTTTTATTTTCCTTCGATATCCAAACTCCCCAAGCACTTAATCCAATTATTCCTTCCTGCTATGGTAGTGATGTTGAGGACGCTTTACCTGAGAAGAAATTCCACATGTGCACAAACATCTCCCCGGGTACACTTGAGTACAGTACGAGCACTGGACTGTACCCTGCAGTATGGATCTTTGAAGCAACTCAATCAACCGAGCCCACCACCCAAAACCAATGGACCCAATCAAAAACCCCCCACCAAATCACAACTTCTCACCCGAAAGATGAGTGAATACTCACCTGATCACGTGTGACTCACCACAAACAGTGACACAGCCAAGCCAATGCATGCATGCCTGTTACAAGTAAATTTAGCGTGGATTCAAAACAGACCAAAAACAGCCCACCAGCCCACCACCGGTCGAAGCTGTTCCTTTTTTCCGCCCACGCAGCAACCAATTCCCAACATGAGCTCTTCATCATCGCGAAGGCCAACGTTAACCCGCCTCACTCGCTACGACACTCCCGACGCTGACCAGTTCGTCCTGCTCCATGCTACTCCAACTAGTGCAGTGCGCCCATTGGATCTCAAGCTTCATGCGACGGAGGGGGAGAGAGCTTTTGCTACTAATAGTGATTTACCCCGCCCGTTCCTGCTCTTCTGCGTTTGCGCCCACCCGGGCCTCCAATTTCTCAACGTGAGACATAGCTAGCTAACTGTCTGAGCTCGGGTACCGGTAGTCACGCAATCCAAGATTTACGAGCTACGCGCGAGGTCGTACACTGGGACTTCGGAAGACCTAGAAAAGATATTCTTGGCTTTGTTACTGAAGCAGGATGTTGGGGTAGAGAGGGGTGTGGAGTTGGCTGCTGCGGTGGATGCTAAAGGTGTTACAGTATGGCTGCCATGCTTCCTTATTTGGAACAAGGGAAGAGATACTAGGTCCGAGCTGATGAGAGCAGTTAACGGTCCGACAAGATATCGGCGGGATAAAGCAACGGATCGCGGCGTTGCAAATTCCCGAGGGGGAAGTTGAGATACCGATTTTCGAGTGGGCGGTAGAGGCCTGTGGGGATTTGAATAGTGGCTCGGTATGTGGCGCACCCTTGTGATCAGTCGGTTGGTCAGCATCCAGTGTGGGCAGAGCTAATTTTTTTTTTGAGGGGAGTGGTTGGTATAGACTCAGTTAGGTAGTCTTCAGCGTAAGGTTGAATCTCAGGAGAAGGAGATTGAGGCTCTTACGAAGCAATTGAAGGATTTGGCGGTGTTCAAGAAAGAACATGAAGAGATGCTGTTGGTAAAGTTTAGTGAATTGCTGAATTCCAAGAAGACGAAGATTAGGGAATTGAGTCGAGAGTTGGAGGTTAGAGGTGGTGACGCGGGTACGTTCCCCCCTGTTGGGTTGTCTTACAATATCCGATGGGCTAATCATGGAATACCTTGGCAGTATCTTCAAAGGCGGAGTCACCAATAGCGGAAGACGAATCGGAAGTTGCCGAGCCAGCCCCTACCAGAGGAAGAGGAGGCAGAGGTCGAGCCAGAGGCAGAGCCAAGGCCGCGGCACCCCCAAGAAAACGAAAGCCAATCGCGCCCCCCACCGATTCCGAATCAGACAGTTTCGCAAAAATGGACACGGGTAGCAAAGGGAGGCCATCTCCCGATGACGAAACTGAGGACTCCGAGGAAGAGGCCGGACCCAGCCGTGGATATCTACGGCAAGACGCCAGGAGCGACCGGAGCATTACCGAAGACGAGGACGAACTTCCCCCCGTTAGGAGACCAATCGCATTCACCATTAAAAAACCCGACCCCGAACCCGAGTGGACCCCCGATGAAGATGTCGAGATGGACGAACCGCTCCCGGCGCAACCTGCCAGGATCGGCGGACGGACAAAGAGTGGGGGCGGGAAGGGGAAGAAACCCGCTCCACCGCCGACGTCACGGGGTACAGGCAGAGTCACTCGGTCAAAGCCGCAGGAGCCAAGTCCCTCGCCCCCACCTTCTCCTCCAGCAAACGACAACGACGAGACAGGAGACAGCGAAGACGAAGAACTATAGAGTACCAGAAGACGTGAGAAGAGGGGAGGATGTTGCGATCTTACACTTTCCCTTTTCGGACTCGGAGTATATATTAGTAGTACTATAGCTACCGTACCCGTGAGACGCCCGAAAAAGACAATCGATTATACCGATACACCCTTGGCCAGATGCGTCCACGTGAGGCTTTTCCTACACCGTGCTTCATTGACACGCAACCATGCATTCCGCCGCACCGCCAGCCAATTCTCTGTGCGTGTGAAGACATCTGCACACGGCGGAAGGCGGTCTATTTATCCACATCTATCCAGTCTAAGGCGCCCAATTGCATAATGTAGACGGTATTACAAAAAAAAAAAATAGTTTTTTTTCTTTTTCCAAAAACATACCAGTGTATACGGTGAATGATATTGTATAAAAATTTAATACAAATACAAATCCCATTTCGCCACGGCATCATAAACCGCCAGGACAGCAAAAAAAAAAAACCCGAGTCGATGACCACCGTCTCACAAAGGCCTAAAACTTTCCCCCCTCCCCAAAGAAACTGAGAGCCCCACACAAAATATCCCGAGGGCGGTTCAGGATCATATTTACAACACATGACACGATCTCGCAGCTTCTCGAAACCTCTCTCACATCAGCCGTGTTCCCATTGTCAGCACTGGTAGGGGGGGAGTGGGGGGGGCGGTTGCATACCGAGTGATATACCATGAGTGCCGAAACGGTTTTTCTCCTCCCATATCGGGTACTGTAATGATACCGGTTATTATTGGTTCCGTTTGAAACAACGGTCGCGGATTTTTGACTTTTTTTTTTTTTTTTTTTTGCACTTTGGACAGGAGCGGTGCAGTGCTTACCGAGTCGCTTCCCCCCCCCACCGGGGGAGTGGTACTATTCCACAGTACTCTGCCCGCATTGTATCATACAATATCATACTCCACCCTGATCTAGGGGAGAAGAAATGTGACTTGCACATTCCTCCGTCACGTGAGATCACTCGAATATGGATGTGATGATTGGGGGAAAGTATTCCTTCCTCTGTTTTTTTTTTTTTTCCTTTCCTTTTTTCCTTTTTTCCTTCTTCTGCCTTGTGGAGGGATGGCTGGGTTTGGGGTGGGAGGTACTGTATTGTGCCGGCGTCCGAGAATCGGGTTCAGTCAAGCCCCCAGTTGCCATCAAGAGTGGGTGCGCTAGTCTCGATATGGTAGAAGACCTTGCTTATCCGGGCAATATATTATTCGAGTAGTATCATACTTGTATTACTCAACCGATGCTTTTCTTTTCATTTTTTTTTTCTTTCCGCACAAGTGTCAACCACAAAGCCGACTTTGGGGGTTAGTATGATGGGAAGCACCTCTCTAGCATAAAGCATATTGTGTAAATGCATTCTTTACATGAATTCGGGTCGTTGTACGGGCAGGCAAATAATAATGGCATAATTATGGTGGTGTTGCTCTTCGAAAGGTTTTTGGTTGTCTGAAGGTGCGGGCACCATGGCGGGTACTGCTCTGGGGTGCTGGATGGGGCTTGCTGGGCGGGTAGGGTTAGGTTTCGTTTACGTTAGGCTGACTTGTGACCTTCCGCCCGGGTTTTTTTGGGGGTGCGAGTTACTGTAAGCTGGGCCGAGGGTTAGAGGGTGATGCGGTCATTGCGGTGCCGGTATTGGTTGTGAGCCCTTCTCCCTTCGCACTTGTATGCGATATGGGGAGGTATGGGAAGGCAAACTACAGTTACAGCACAGCTTGGCTTTGACCCGCCTTCAATGAATGGAGGAATGAATTAATTCGGGAGAAGCGCATTCGAGGAGCACCATACCGGTACCGGCGTCGTGAGAAAATAGGCGGGAAAGGAATTTCCTACTGTACGGTATTGTGCCTACTCGTACAGCACGGTACGGTAGGGCGGTCCTACCCACAGGGGAAAAAATAGAGAAAAAGACAGCGATGTACCGATGCGATCTACAGGTGGAAAATCCGGAGTGGATTTACTCGAGTACCAATATCGTACCGGTACCGGCAAGCATGGCTCGATTGGTGGATGGGTGGGGGGGGTTTTTTTTTTTTTTGCCCTTTTCTTTCTCTTGCTTGCTTAGGTTGTTGCTTGCCTGTCAGGCGTTCTGAACTTGAATTAACGGGGTGGTAGTGGCAGTGGTGACGGGGAGCACATATATGGTGCTCGCCGAAGAAGAAGAAGGGGGCCTCTCTCGTTTTGTACGACGGACGGGGGGTTGTTTGTCGTGCGCTTTGGTTTTATCGTGGTCTGTTGTTTGCTCGCTATTGTGTAGACCATTGGCACTTTTTGGTGTTTTTGTTTTTTCTTGCGGAGGGTTCGTCCTGCGAGCTTTCTTTTCTTTTTTTCCCATAGCGGGAGTGGCCTCGAACCGGAACAGCGATAATTACCCTTTTTCCTGTGCATTGGTGCAGCGTGTATTCTCTCTGGGCATGACGAGTTAAGTATCGTACCTGGTACTTGTAGCACAGAAAAGAGCAGTGCAGGGTTAATTCAAGTTGGCCGGTTCGCCTGGGGCTTTGCGGTGCTGCACAGTGATGTTCTTGTTCGGGCTGTAAACTGCAGAATTTTAGAGTGCGGGCAGGGATCGGGAGGTGGGGAGGTGGGGAGGTGGGGAGGTGGGAGGGAGGGAGGGAGGGAGGGATAGCCCGCAAGTTGGATTCCTTGGAGATCCCTTTCTTGAGGGGTTCAACCTTTGGCGTTTGAAGAAAGGTTAGACCGACGGGAGTCTGATGTGTTTCTCTAGATTAACGGGGTAATATAATGTTTGACTGCGGTAGGTTATTTTGCGGAGCGCTACCTCATTATCTGCCATGGAACTGGATAGAGGTGAAGATATTGTGCGTTGGTTGATCGGGGATGGCTGTTTGACAGTATTGTGCTCGGGGTGTCTACGGTGGTTCGTCGTGGGCTGGATGATATTGTGCAATGTACGACGGTACGAATATAGTACTGTACTGGTACCAGTACCGGTACAGTACCGCAGCTGGTTATCATGGTTCTCTTGTGCTTCCTCTCTGGTCCTTTATCTGTAGGCCTTCCCTACTGGGGGATAGGGGGACGGACTTGTATGGCGTTTATCCCATTTCAGCGCGAACTTTTTGTTCCTGCTTTTTCTTTCTTCCTTTCCCTGGTCTGCCGGGATTTTGGCTAGCAATGACTGGCGAGGGCCTTCACATGGTGTGATCCATGTGTTTTCTACTGTTCAAGGCCTCAGTGCGAAAACATTTCCATCCATTATCATACTTGAAGCAATAAATTGGCCTTGTTATGGTTCCCCCCCTCTCCCTTCCCTTGATATATTTCGAAGTATGATAGGCAGTGGTTGGAAATAGTTCTATTGTATGACATATTTCCGGTAGAGCTCCCCTCGCCTCGTTTCGAAACGACCTTTTTCATTCTCACCACCTTTCTCCCTCGCCGACTCGGAGCTCTTGCTCTCGCCCTCCGACCCCAAGACCCCAATCCCACGCGGGCGGCCCTGGGCGGAGAAGGAACAAGGGACTTGACAGCTACCATTATCCCATTTGGAAACTCAAGCTGCCCTTCTCCGCAAAATCTTCTTTCTTATTTCCATTTCCTAATTTAGGATTTTTCCTTTTTTCCTTCCTTTTTTCCTTCCTTTCTCTTCGTCGAGCGAGGCCTACCCCCCCCGCTCTTAAAACGTGCGCGGCTCTCTCCCAGCGAAGGAGAGCGAGATCCCATTCTAAGCTACTTCCCGGCTCTCGCTGCACTTCCTCCCTTCTCTTTTTCCTCGCTCTCCCCACCACCCACACCACACGCACCAGAAGCTGCTGCCACTACCAGGAGCAAGCAAAGCAGCAGCAACACCTGCCACACCCACACCAAACCCCATACCCATACGCTACAACTTAACCCACCACTACCGCCAACCAACCCACCATCGGCAACTCCACCACCACCACCACCTCCACCACCACTATTACACCCAACATCTCATCCCACCAAATACGTCCCGCTACTGCTACCTCTAACTTCCTCCGCCTCCACTTCCTGCCCACGATCAACTGTCCTCCCGCTTTTGTCTGCTTCGGCATCTCTTACACCTGCCACTACCGCTACCTATAACCCCTAACCCTTGGCACTCCCACACCTACCCCGTGCGGTACCTTTTTTCTTGACCATCCAACCGCTGTCCGCGTTTAAGCCTCACGGAAAAACCATCGGCAGCACCCAACATCTCATCACCTGTCACCCGCTTTGCACGGTACAACGACCCCCCAATTGCCTTTACCGGCCTCGACTCAGGATACCTCCTCCCACAGGAAATAACCGAACCACAGAAAAACCTCAACACACGGTCGCGAGCAGGGGAGAGGGACCCTCGACAACCACGGTGGAGTTGGAAGTCCGGATTCGACAGCTGGTTCCACCGCTACTTCAATGGCTCACACAGCGGTCGCGTCCGCCGATGACAGCGACGACATTGGCGCGCGTTTGTCCAGTCAGAATCTTCCGCAGAAGCCCTTGATTATGGAGAAAGTAAACAATGAGGGCGACTTGAAGCAGTGTCGACATCATGATCAGTGTTTCTGTTATGAGTACTTGACCCTGTTGGATAGGCCAGACTACAAGGATAAATGGCTCCCGGATAGCCCCGAACCCGAGACGAAGCTTCTGAAGGTCAATGGGAGTGCTCCCGCACCCGGGAGCGGGAATGTACCGAGTGTTAATGGGACCACGAAGCCGCCGACGGTAGCGAAGAAGTTTAGCTTGGGTCAGTACAAGGATAGAATCGCAGGAAAGACACCAGCAAAGGCCTCGGTTCCTGCTGCCACACCTACTACTTTAACGGCTTCAAAGAATTCACGGGTGACGGTAAAGAAGTGAGTATTGTTTGTTTCTTTTTCCTTTGGTGGTTCTACGATGCTGACGGCACCCACGAAGGCCTGCCGAGAATAACACTCCGGAGAGGCAGGAGGTTGTAGTTAGGGGCTCTAAGGAAGTGCGGGGGGCACCGGTGCGAGAAGGGCCACCCCCTAAGAAACGACAAAGAACTGTGACTCCGCCGCCCTTGCGCCCCCCTCCTCCTCCACCCCCAGCGATAGCTGCTCCGACTCTGCCTTCGCTCCCGCCATTACTGAGTCCTACACTACCGCAGGCTATCGAGGAGGCACTTGCTCAGGAGGATAGGGACAGGGACAGGTCACGCGCGAAAAAGGATGAGGGTTATGAGGGGTCGACAGCTTTGAAGCAGCAGCGACAAAGGGCAGATTCTAATGCTAGCGACAAGGGAAGGAAGCCTATGGCTTCAGGGAAAAAATTGCCGGGATCTACTTCCAGCACTCCCCGTCATACTCTCCAATCACCCAGCAAAGCAGTGGGAAACAAGACGATCCCGAAGAGCGCTCTTGGCGGCAACACCACCCCCAAGACTGTGTCAGCTAAAACGGTGAGCAAGCGACCGGTCAGTCCGAAGCCATCTGGCTCTCGCGTCTCATCAAAATATCCGACCCCGTTAGAATCAGGCCCCTCGCTAGTTGTTAGGTTAAAGTTCAGCCGCCGTCGCATCAAGGACGTTGTAAGTTTGTTACGGTTGAAACCTAACCCTAAACGAGTTCGCCAAGACGAGGATCAGCACTTATCGGCGCCTCCTGCCAAACGGCAGAAGGGGACCGAAAACCTGAACCCTTCCGCCACGAGATCTCCCGCGTTCAAGTCTCCGGCACTGAAGGCGCCCAAGGAGCGTGACATTATTACGCCTCCGAAGAAACTTAACGGCAGTGCGTCATTGAAACGATCGGACTCTGAGGGACGTGTCCATACGCCGGCCAAGGCAGAGAGAAACGGAGGGAGAAATGGTGTGGGTTCAGGAGCTCCGCCCAAGGAGTTGACTCCTGCTATTTTGGCGGAGGCTAAAGGGCTTAGGAAGGAATATTCCAGGTGAACTATGCTCAATCACTTCTGGTGGATTGATTGGTTGGACTAACGATCATTTCATAGATTTTCTGAGTTCGGGAAACATGCCAAATATGAAGCTGATAGAGTCTTCAAGTCACTGGACGGGCCAGCAGCTGACCGGGACAAGCTCCGATATGCTACCGTCGTTCTTACTGATTCAGTTTTGTGTTTCATGGTCTCCTTCTCCTTCGAGCAGGAAGCGAAAGTGCTGGAACGTCGTTCCCCACCGGTGGAAATGTGGAAGTCGATTATTCCGCTCTGTCTCTTTGTCGGCGACAAAGCCGTGCCATACCCATCCCTCTTCGGTCTCATGTAAGTTCTCCTCACTCCACCCACATTTACCAACCAGTCCTTGTCTATATCGCCGACAATTAACACGTCCCAACGAACAGTAAGCAACTGGAAGCCGTGGTCCGCCAACACATCTTTGACCTCGAAATAGCGCAGTACGATAAGATGCCCATCCCAGACACAACCTCCAAAGCGCCAACCCCCGACTCGGGCGGAAATACCGCCGGCGACCAGATGAGGGCCTACCAGTCCTTCAAATCTGCCCTCACGAAATCTTCCCGTGAACTGAAGGACTGCTGGCTCGTTGGCAATAAGGGGCTCACGTACGATGACATACAAGCCAAGTTCCCGCAGACCTATGCTTTGAGGAGTAAGAAGTTTATCCATCCTAGTGCTATCAATGTTAAGAACGGGCAGTTCAGGCAGGCATACCAATTGCCCTTGCATAGGAATTCGACTATGCTCGAGGCGGTGAACTTTGGATATTTCTTTTTGCTGGAGTGGGTCGCTGGAGAGGGGATTAAGTTTCAGAGTAGGCTGGCGGAGACATTTCGGTAATGGGGATAAGGGATGAGGGAGCGGCTTAACCGCTCTGGTGGATGTGATGTTTTTCAACGGGATCTCTTTTCATAAAACCTTTGCGTGTTTTTTTTCGGGCTTTTTCGGTCTTGTCTTGTATTGGTGTTATTGGGATGGCGGGGCCCGGGATGGGTTTGCTTTACTTTACTCCACTTTGCTCACTTCTTTTACTCGTTTCTTTCTTTCTTTGTTTATTTTACCTCTTCTTTGCTCTTTTGTTGACCTTTTTTTACGGCTTGGGTTGTTTTATCCATCATGTCGCTTTTTGCTTGCTTTCTTCAAGAATGCCTTTCAACTACTCCACCTTTACTTTTATTCTTCTACCCTACTACCCTACTCCACTTTTATCCTTACTTTTATGTTTCTTCTGTTTTTCACTTCACTTCACTTCACCTTTTAACTGCATAATGTCTTTTTTCCCTTTCCTTTCCTTGTAAGAAACGGCTTATGACTTTTCTTTTTCTATTTCATTTGACTGTCCTACCTCACTTCACCTCACATCACCTAACCTCAGTTAACCTACAATACCTCACCGTCTCTAACCAACCTAACGTACCTAGCCACGATACCTACCTACCCACCTACCTGCCTGCCCGCCTCCCTCCTTCTCACCAATTCTCCACAGTAAGACTAATTTTCGCAAACTTTTCAAGAGTTTGAGAAAGAAAAAGAAAGCACGACCCTTGTTTGTCGGCTGTATACTAGGGTTTTCATAAAAATCTGTGTAGCATATTTCATTTTGGAGTTTTTTCCCTCATTATTCCCAGTGTCAATGTCAATGTCAAATTGGTTTTCTTTTTTTTCCCAATGTTGGACCAGACAGACAGTAGTTTGGTTCGCCTTGGCTGGCGGAAGGTGAGGGGGGGGGCGGACATGTACAATACAATACAATACAACGACGGCGAAAGAATTATCGTTCTTCCCGGGAAAAAATAAAAATAAATTAAATCAACGAATTTAATACACCTTCCATTCCCTCATCCATTCATTAACCCCTTCCGCGTTCGTGGCACCCGGGGTGCGGTAGGATTGGCGTGCCCGCCCGCGAATGAGAGTTGGGTTTTTTGAAGGGAGTGGTTTATTTTTTTCCGATTCCCGTTTGTTCTACCCGTAACAGTTGTGGGGTTGGTTCCTCCCGATGTAGAATATCGTGTCGTATTTTTCCCTCGAGTGATGGCTTGTGCGATGAGTTTTTTTTTTTTTTTTCATTTCTTATTTTCGCCCGGTTGGGTGTGTTGATTAGTTTGCTTATTCTGGGGGGAGGGTCCTCGGCGTCGTCGGATTGGTTGGGCGTCGTAGGGCTATGTATGATAATATTATGATATTATAACATGTATCATAATATGGGAATTCTATTTTATTTTTATTCTTTTTATCATTTTCATTTTTAAGCTTGTTAATTGGCTGGCGGTCGACTTTGGTGCGACTTGTCGGTTGCGCGAGTGATTATTTGTGATGGAGAACTTGGTTTTTGCGGTATGCTCCGCCACTTATCGTGGAACGTGTGATATGTAGCCATGCATCTCGTGGTCGGGGACTCCCCGGTTTCCGGTACGATGATATCCCGTTGGTAAAACCGTCGTGCCCGGGCGACCCCTCCTCGCACTTTGCACTCGAGTGCTGTCTGTCTGTTCCTTCCAAGTTTCTTCCAGATCGTGTACCGCTCCGTCTGTCTTGCTCATCTTGTCCCCGCAGGACTGTGGGTTGTCGTATCATACCGTAAATCATTCGCGAAGATACCGCAGCTGAAAGTGGACTGAACAAAATGAGGAAGAAAGAAAAGAGGGGAAAATACGAGTCGTCTGCTATTTCCAGAGTTTATGATGTAATCGATCCCCTCGAGGCGCGTCCGGGCGGTATGTACGTACAGTGCGCTCCAATATTAAATGCCCCCCCCCCCTCCCATCTAAAGCTACTTCGAGTGGGCTGGCCGGGTTTTCGACTTGTGATCGCTCACTCACCGCTCCTGCGCGAGTATCGTGGAGTTGGTGATGAACAACTGACTTACTCTGGAAATGGCGCTGAGGTGTTCGAGTTTTAGCGGTTTCGGAGGCGTGTTGGCGGGTTGTCGGTGGCGCGAGGGGGGAGTGGTCCGGACCTATTGATGGAATGGATGTGAGTGGGTAATGCCGATTGCCTTCAAGTGTTTCATAAGTTTGGTGTTCTTGGTCTTGGTGAACTCGTATCGAGCATCCTGCTTCAATTTACCATGTGGATTTTAGTGAATGGCAGTGAGACAGCCACAAACCTGCTGCGGCGGCTACATTGCTTTCCTTACTCTGATGGATAATTTGACGGGACTTTGCCTCTAACTTGTTCTCCATTCCCGTTGATATCATCATATCATACTAGATCAACTCGGCATTTCTGGGGAAGGTTAAAAGGACGAGTGATGGTATGTGACTGCCTGGAGTTATTCTATTTTAATGGTGAGATTTGTGATAGACATGGAAGAAAACCCTTTAACATCGATATTCCTAACTACCGGTGAGTCTGATATTGGAGAGAAAGGAGAAAAAACTAAAAATCGGCATCATCTGTCCAAAGACTATCCGCAATCGCGGGAAACATTGTAAAGAAATTGCTGGGTATTATAGTGGTTAAAACAAGAAATGGTGACAACACAACCATAACTTTGAAAAAAAAAAAAAAAAAAAAAAGAAACATAGGTTAATTGATTCTGAGATTTGAGATGAGTAAGGAAAAGAAGCAATGATGTAATAAGACGGGAAAAGATCAAACAGAATACAAAGAGAAAATGTTCTCCGAGAAGGAAAAAGTAGGGGAGAGGAGAGGCCAGGAGAAAGGCTAAACTTGGGGAGGCTGTCCATAGAAAGTTGGAAAGAATGTACAACCTCATAGCGGTTCGGCACCGGTAACGGATCAAGCATCCAGGACGTCCAGCGCAGTAACATATCGTTTGATAAAAACAGGAGACTGGGGGCCTGATGGTAGCGGTTTGATGATGGGAATGGCGATTGAGAAATTCAGTAGAGATTTTCGGATCCACCCGTTCGACCTTTAAAAAAATTCTTGATATATCCACCGTCGGCTTTATCGTGGGCCTCGGGTGAAGGTTTTTTTTTATGACCGTTTTTTCGCTTCGTTTTAGTCCTCTATTCTGACCCCATTCCACTTGACTTCAATTAATGTCCTCTCGCTTCTTTCCGGTTTGCTTGGGGCTGCGGGAGGTGCGCTTTTTCGATTTCCTGGTCAAGGAAAAAGGACGCAGTAGATCCAAGCAGCTACTTCCAAGTGCCTCCGCCCCTTCGTGTGCCACAGTCGATTTTTTTCTAGTGGTTTTCAAGTAATCGTCCCACTGGAGGGGCTTCTCTGTTCCGATTCCCGACTTTGCTGACTTGGGGGTACGTTTTTGGTGGACTATGTCGGATTCTGTGTTGGTTTTTGGGATGTCGTCGGTAGGCATTCTCAGGGGGTCCCCGGGGCTTCCACCGCTTGACTGAGTAGCTCTGGACTTTCCCTTTTGATACTCCCTGGGGTTCAAGTCTGAGGTATTCTCAGGGGTGCCGAGTGGGGGTGGAATGATAAGAGAGGAAATGTGGTGTCTTCTCCTATGGCCCATCCTTGGTTCCCTCAACTCCCTATAAATATTGAGGGCCCCGGCGTTCATCCTGGTATTCTCGGCCGTTTTGCGAGTAATTTCGAGTTCGTCGGGGTCCAGCAACTGCTCCTCTTTGATTTCCTCCCTCAACCTGGCAAGCCTATTCTTCATGTTATGGTTGACTGGAACGGCCCCACCCAAATCCCCGTCCTCGGCTTCCACGCCACCAGAATGACCATATCCAGCAAGCTCCAGTTCCTCGTGATGCTGCTTCTCCTTTTTCAACCTCTCGATCATGCCCTTCTTGCCATTGATCTGGCATCTGACAGTTCTATGGGGGATATTCCACATCTCCTCAAGCCCTTCTTCGCAGATCTCGAGGTAGTACAACAAAATGCCCTCCTCGTCATCGTAGATCTCCCGGCGCATCCTGACGGGCTGGTCGACGGATTTTCTGGGGTAAAAAAAATAGTCGACCTTGATATCGTTGGCAAATCGGACAGATCCCTTTGCTTTGCCCTTCAAGGGTGGGGTTGGCGGTGGTGGTGTTTTCGAAGCTGGGACCAAACGGATGACCTGGGAAGGGCTGGGAAAGGATGGGGCCTGGAATGGCTTGTCGGAGCTTTTCACAGAATCGCCCGTGAACTCGAGGCGGTTTCTGTGCACCTCGGAGAAAGAGGCATCGAGTTTATAGAGGGTATTGTTTTGAGGGGGGAAGTTCATTTTGGTGATTTTTGGTGATTGTGCAGCAAAGAAGAAGAGACAAGGGGTAGGTAAAATAGTGGGGTTTTTTTTTGGACTGTTGTGGGTGTTAGGCGTTGATAGGAGGAGAGTTAGGTCGAGTGGTGGTGTTGGTGGTTTGTGTGGTAGCTGGGGGTGGGTATATGGTGGTAGTGATGGGATTGACGGGTTAGATACCGAGCAACCCCAACGTGACGAAATTTATCTCCCCTACGGGCAACACTTAGGGCTTGACTTGAACCTATTGACACAGAATGGAGTCTAGTCTACAGACGTTATGACTTTTTGTATCATATCTTTCAAAGGGTATCACTATTCCCAAATTGGTACCGGCTGTTCTATTCTATCCTCACTCGAACCTTCACGGGAAGCTTGAAATCCGCAACCTCCAACCTCACGCGACCCCGTTTTTTTTCGCATGATATATCCTTAAGGACCAACTTAAGTATCGTACATGACCAAGTATTCCTTCATTACAACAACTGCTGAAACACTTGGGGGTCCATATATGTAATGCAGTTTACTCTCATGTTCAATAGTGTATATATCTGGACGTTCAACAGGTCTATAATTGTAGTAGGAGGCTTCCTTCCATTTTACCAGCCTTGATTTTTTTGTGTAAATTCATGTAATATCACTCGGGCATAAAACTACCCCTTACTAGCACAGATTCCTCTTCATTAAGGGCAAGGGGTAGTTAAATATTATATAGTCCCAAATTCGTTGTATGATAGCAAAATCCGTTCTCCTGAGCTTACTGACAGAATAATCCACAACACCAGTTTCATATTTGCCAAACACCCAAGAGAAACCGTACTCTGAATATTGAAACGTTGTAAACTTCTTACCCTTGGTTTCCCCGAAGAATGGAATCTCGAATGGTTGGGGTACTCGCCGGAGTCAATAGTCTGTCTTCGGGTTATAGCCGCCAGCGGCAACACAGTCGTTACTCTCCTCTAGCGGTCTTCACACTAGGAGAATCATGATAATAGCCATCGCCCATAAAATAAATTATCCCTATAAACCGGTGTCTCTAGTAGTTTTTGGGGAGGTTTACGAAAAGTGAGTGCTACTCCTGCGGGCGGGTTGTGGTGGAGCGGGCGTCTACTCATGGTTAAAGGTCTGGGACTGACATTCGATTCTGGCGAGGAATAGGTCCCCCGGAGTTTCGCATTGATATCACTTCGTGGGCACAAGATAAGGGGCTCGGAATCTACTCGAGGGGGATGTAGGCATTACCGAGATTTGCCGCTAGGGGGACATTATTCCTGCGTTCCCCTTGCTTGTACTGTGGATAAAGGCTTTCAAGAGAGTCCATGACCAACTTGCCTGTAGGAAAACTCTCATGTGCTGGCCTCTCGCTGCTTTCCCCACCCGAATTTTCACTTTTCCTAACAGGACATTGCAGGTCTTGCTTGGGAACGATCGCATCCGACAGAGTATTCTAGATGTGTTAAAGCCGTTCCCCTGGTTGCCCGGAGGCATTCAATCGATTATTAAACAAGGAAAGGTGAAAATCCTGCACCGCATTATTATCTGGAGAGATCAAACTACCGCTAGTCCGCCAATATAGGAGTTTTCTTTGTATGATAGTTTGTCTCAAATTCGCAACAAAACATCTTCAGTAATATCATAACCCTTTATGGACAAAGCCATGCCTGGCTTGGACAACTTTTTGACCGTGCTGGATCTTTTGCCTCAAGCGCCGGCTTTATTCCAACGTACTAGCGGCAGGCGGATCCCCCCAGATGATGCGGTACGCCGGTATATATCTGAGGTTTGGCATCTACTCCCTGCGGCCACGGAAGCTGCGATGTCTACCCTTTCATTTCCACATCTTTCTCAGCCATTCCTTGTCCTCAACTGTTGCCTTCTGGGGAGCTCCCATTTTTGTTCCCGCTTTCATCATAAAGCTCTACCCATACCCGCCTATGTTTGGGATACCCTTGCTGAGAACCCTCACTGTTCTTGCTTTTCTCTCGGTGCCGGATCCTATTCACATACCGGGTGCCAAAGCTTGGTGAGTGACCTATCATGTGGTAGTTTGCGGGTTGTGACGTTTGACTTTAAGATCTAATTATGTTGGAAATGTTGAAAACCGTGTTTGTGCTCTTGCTGAAACACTAGCCTCGAGTGACACTTTGTGACTGCTTGCGTCACTCTCCTGGCCATATGACTATCTCTAGGCATTGCTTCCTCTCCCTTCCTTTTCTTTTCAATCGTCTTCACTTCCTTTCGTGGAATAATCAACGCTTCAATCCCTATCCTACATCTGCTCATTCGACCTCTTCTCCTGTGATCCCATTCAACAGTCTATTGTGGGCCAGGTGTGCTTGTTCCCCTTAATCGCGATTGCCGCATTTACTATCCTAAGGGGGCAAATAGGGGGGGCCTCTCCTGAAACCGTTGTTCCCTTTGACTTTCATATTTGCCTTCTCCTTTGTTTGCGTCCTTGTTCGTACCTTCTACTCGGGTCTACGTGTTGAAATTCGTGCTTGTGGCTTCTACCTCATACTTTCATACCATATGTTATCATGAGTGATGCACTGTGACTGCTTGTGTCCCCCTCATGTATCGTATAGGCCTCTCTTCATGCATCCCTTTCCTTGTTCTCTTTCTCTCTTTCTCCCCTCTCCTTAACTGATCATACAAACACCTGGTTTCTCCGTAGGCGCGCAAACCTCGACTCAGACACCGTTTGTTTTGCTACTCTCAACACTACGTCGTTCTCGTCCATACCAAATTCGTCGTTTGTTACTTTCTTTTAATGCCGCATTGCGGACTCGACCAATTTACAAAAACCCCTATTCGCTCGAACCTACGGCCGCAAGAAAAATTTCAAGAGAAAACGAGATATAGCAAAGAATCACATGAGAAAGCTTTCAAGCGGTAAAAAGAACCTCACCTCGCTTCGTACAATCACGTAAGATCACTCGTAAATCTTATTTCTCAACTTTGTCCCCCTTGCAAACGAAGAAAATGGAAAAAAGAAAGAAAGAAAGGGGAAGGGACGAGAAGTCTAGGCCTCCCTCGGAACCTGCGCCTCAACCTCAATCTCCACCAATATCCCTTCCTCCCCGAGGGCCGTGACGCCCACGCACGTCCACACCGGCGCATGGTGGGGACACCATCTCCGAATGGCCGCGATGGTAGCGCCTATCGCCTCGGGCGATAGTTCGATATGGTAGGAGCGTATCTTGTACACTTGGCTCCATCCTGCGCCGCCAGCGTCTTTGAGGTTCAGCTCGACATTCTCGAACGTCTTCTCGATCTGCTCTTCCATCGTTCTCGCGAGTTCGCCAGTTCGGGCATCCCAGCCGCCTGGGGAGTGCTCTTGCGTTAGCGGAAAGGAAGGAGGTAGGCAGCTCGTACGGGGGAGGGGTGTAATTGCCTTGCCCGGCGCACTCAATTCGGTTGTCTATGCGGACCGCTTGGCTGTAGTAGTATTTCTCCAGATTGCGCTTTCCAACGCCGTCGTACGCGTAGTATCGTAGGTGGGACATTGTTCCTTTTTTTATTATTATTACTACTATCAATCCTTTCTCTTGATACTGGGTCGGACGGAGGTGATGGTGTATTTAACCTGGATAGCTCAAGTCCTAGATTGCGAAGCATAAGCAACAAATATATACACTCCCCCCCCCCCCCACCTCGTATCATACAAATTCATGATCACAAACCCTTTCCATTCCGACCACACCCCAAATCCAGGCCCATTCGGACATATATCGGGAAAAAAGGAAAATAAAGCCCGCATCTAACGCAGGTCCCTCCGTCGCTAAACTCCCGTAAGCATAACCTGGGCCCCGTACCACGTTCTCACTCCGCCGCCCGACACACAGAATGGTTGAGCCTCGTTCGTGTCGGTGTATCCACTTGAATACCGCAACGGTGAGCCTTCCCCCTAATCCAGGAAACATGGGGCCTGCGTGGCCAACGTTGCTGTGCAGCCCCTAAGGACAAGATGTCGGATTTTGAAATGATACTTGTAGTATTATGACGGTAGTGTTCTAAAACTGCCAAGTCATTGCCCAGTAAAGAAAATGATCTGATATGCATTGACTTTATTGCCTTGGCATAATTTTTGTTTTAACTTGATGTGACTGTGTTGGGGGCATAACAACTCTAGACTACCGGTATCCTGATATGCTTGTGTAAATCCGTGAAGGCAAGACCCATATTATTTAGACTAACCTTGGGATTCAATGTTTATTTGGAACCGGTTTGTCCTGGTTCGTCATGTTTCTTTTCTTTTCTTTCAAGTATGATATTCACCGATAAACAGTCGCTGACCTCCCAACTACCGGTAGACTATTTTGTAATCCCCCCTGCTCGAGTACCGGTATGTCTCATCCGGTTGAGAAAATAATACGGTACGCTCCGTGTAAAAGTCTCGCCAAGACTGATAAGACCTTTCCCATCTGATATCATACTTCCACATCCTGACACCATCTTGACAGTTGTAGATAAGATAAGAGCTGGTTGGTGGCTCGGGAGACTTTTCAAGTCGTGATTACCCCACGGGAAATTGCAACTTACAACCCAGGATGAACCTCTCTCCCTCGCCCCCACCACAAAGAAGGCGGTGAGGGGGGGGTTCTCGAATATATATATTTAGGAATATCCCCTGACAATTGACCATACAATACCTTTGCCATTTGCATTGATCGTCACTGTCATCCGTTCCGGTGGTCGAGCATGTCGGTCGGGTCGTTGATCGCCGTGATTAATTAGCGGGTCGCGAATTATTCATCAATTTAATTTAATTACTCTGTACCCCGTCCTTGCTTTGCTTGGGTCCTGGATGATATTGCCGGTTCGGGTCGTCGTCTTTCGATGGGCAAACAAGCAAGCAAGCAAGGAAGGAAGCAAGGGGCTCGGTGAGGAGTTGTGTCAGCAAAGGAATGAAGGAAGTGAAGACATGGCGTCGTCATCATCATATTATAGGAGGAAAGGACTTGTTACATATCATTACCTACCCGAGTAAAGAGTTACTGGGAACGGTATTTTAGGAAAGGTAGGAGTAGAAGTTGGAGGTTTTTCCAGGTATGATAGTCTAGATAGACTGAATGATCTTCGGGTACAGTACAGTACACAAGATGAGATATTATTATATAACCCCCGACAAACAACCACCTTCAATTACCCAATCCTGCCGAATTCGCACAGTAACTATGGTACTGTAGTGGCAGCTACTTCGATAATGCACCGTCGAGTCCATGTTCTGGCACAGTGCACCACTGCGGAATATCATTTCTTGCTGTAAGTAACCGGTATTCGATTCAGGAAAGTGTGGAAGAAGAAAAAAAACCCTTAAGCTTTCAAACGACGGTGCAATGGATTAGACTACCTACCGACAGCAGCGCTCATCTACAAGTGCAGTGCCGTAAATGCGGCTGGTTGGCATTCCACGGGAGTGGGAATAGACCATGCATGGCGCGGGTGTGGGTGTGTGGAAACGGTAAGGTGAAGGTATGGTATCGATTATTTCAAGTGGTTATGGCGATACTGTGCAATCGGGGCTCCCATTGATTCATCGGTATGATACTTGCAATGATGTGATACCTATACGGGAGTCTGACCGATTTATCATACTCACATGTCGAGTATTTGAAAGGCGACTTGCCACTGAATACCTAACATTCCCGCAGTCATAGACCATCTCCATAAATTTGAAAGAAAAGAATAGGAAAGAAGAGGAAAAAAGACAGTTGATAATATTATGATAGGCAGACCTTGCAATTTGATTGACAAATGAACCTCCTCCCCCTCCTCAAGTGTTCGATTTTAGTTTCTCTCCCGGTATGATACCCCAACTCGCCCACATTGCATAATTGCTTCACGTCCCAAGATTGAAAACATCATTCCTCCACCCTCCCTCCTCGCCAAGGGCTACAACCCTCTCAGTGGAGTCCTTAATCTTGCCAACAATCCCACCCGGCGGGAATTCGCCGGGGAATATATCGTCCTCCCCGATATTAACCCTGTAACCACCAGCTCCCGCCCTCGCACCCCTCCCCCCTACACCGCTCACACCTCCACCTCTGTGTCCCGGCGGACGCGAAAGGATCGCTTCGATCCACCCTTCGAGGCTCCCACCGCCGCTGGTGGCAATGGACGCAACCCTCATGCGCTCCACAACACCACGGATCTCCCTATCGGCCATCTCGAACGTGTACTTTATCTTCTGCTCCAGTATGCTCGCAACCAGCTTCCGCACCATCGGGCGGACGATTGGAGATAGCAATGCCGCAGCCCAGGTGTGGTACGCATTGTACTTGTACCTGAAGTTGTGGATGTTGACTTTCACACTCTTCACCTGGAAGTAGCGTCCGCTGCCGTACACACCATCGCCATCGTCACCGTCGTCTTCCTCGTCCTCGGAGTGGCTTTCAAGGATGATCTCGGCATCGGCACCCCTGCCGTCTAAATACACGTCCAGGAACCCGCGGTCTTGGAATGTAACCAGGCCGGTCTTCTTCCGGACTATGAAGGCCATGTCCTTTGCGAACATGGTGATCCCCTGAAGGCGCAGCTTGCTGGTTCCAGAGTAGTGGCTGGAGAAGACGTACTCGTTCACGAACTCTGCTCGGGTAACGGTCTCGAAGAGCATCTTGTAAGGGATGAAATGGTCGCTTTCGAGGATCAGATTCTCGAGGATGAGGTCGTAGTCCCGATCTTGATACTCTACTCTAGGGATTGGTACGTAGCGCACCTCGCCGACGAGCCTGGGTAATAGGACGTCCAGGATGTCGTGCACCACACGGCGTTTGAAGCCTTTGAATTTGCCCTGGGAGTCTAGGATTACGAGGTCATTGAAGACCTTCTTGGAGGACTCGATGACTCGGCGGTTCTCGCGGTCCTGAGAGATGGCGTTTAGAAAGGAGGTTATTTCTTGGAAGAGGGCGTGCATGTCTGGCTGGTAGGCATCTGTCTTTTCTTTCAGGAGGGTGGTGGAGCGGTCGTACAGAGCGTGTGCCTCCGCGTCGGCCGCATCGGAGGCAATAAAGTCTTTTTCCTTAAGGGCTCGGTTGAGGAAGTTTGAGATGTCGCTGTAGAAGCTGCGGAGGTCTTCATCCGATTGAATGTCTTGGATAACCTTTTTGGTGGCGGAGTGGATGTCGTCGAGAGGTTTGCCGTCCGCGAAGACCATTAGAATTGCCTTTCCCATCGTTAGAATCATGATTCATCACTCGACACATTGAGAAAGGCATACCCTCATATCCTGAACCGCCCGGTCAAAGTGCTCATCTGTATGGATCGCAGGCTTCTGTACGCTGGTTTCCTTATCAAGACTGTCCGTAATCCCACCAATGTATTTTTGCGCCATCTCAATCAAAAAGTCCACGGTATCGTTGAAGTCAGAGTTCTTCTGGATCTCGCCTATCGTGCTCTTCAGCCTATTAATCACCGCGTCCCGACGCTGTTTCGGGAATTTCTCTCGCAGGTAGGACTCCACGTCGTAGCGTGACTGGGTAGTCTGCTTGCGGAGGGCTTCCGTATAGGAGATTCCCTTATCCTTTGCCATAGAGCGGATTCGTGATGCGGAGGGGATGTCCGGACTTGTGTTTGGATCGCCGAGAGCAGATTCGGCGGGTTGCTCAATTTGCGAGATGTCTCCTCCCGGGCGAGCCTTTTCCGCCGCGGAACTGGCAACGTTCGCGGCGAAGGAGGCGGCATCGGCGAATATGTCGCGGGAGACGACTGGGTTTGTTAGCGTTGGTAGTGGCAAGGGAGTGAAGGGGGGGGGAGTATACTTGTGACGTCGTTCAGCAGCTTCCTAAACTCGGGGCTGGAGTAGAGGAGACTCCCCAGGAGCCTCATCTTTGAATATACTGTCGCATATCAGCCATAGTTACTCCCTTATCGTTCAATGGAAGGCCACACACCCTTCTTCATATCTTTTCCGGAAGGCTTTGCCCCTGCCACCGCCCCTCCAGCACCCCTCATATTCGGCCCACGAACATCAATCCGCGCGTTCGAAGTATGCCAAATAAACTCCTGAATCTTATCATCCGACTACTCCCGCCCCCCTTCACATTAGCAAACGCCCCCAAAAACCCAAAGCTCAATACATCACTTACATTCTTACCCAGTCCAACCTCAACAACAGCCTCAACCCAAGCCCTCAAATCCCTAACAAACCCCCGTCCTTGCACACTCAGCCTCCGATTTCTGCTATCCAGTACTCCACTAGTTCTAAGTGCATATCTAGCCCACGCCGTGATCTGCTCAGTGCTCGGCATGTACCCCTCTTTCATGGCGAGCAGCGCTTCGTAAGTCCTAAGTTTACTCCTAATGGCAGCCTCCTTCTGTGCTCTGCTTGGGTCGGAGGGGTTTGCCACGAGTGGCTCTCGCTGGGACCTGTCGAGGTCTTTAGCCGTCGTTGCGGACATCTTTCCTGTGGCTTTGCTGTAGGATGGGGAGGGTTGAGGAGTGCCCTCTTGAGAGGGTGTTTCGGGATTGCAAGTGTGGAACCGAATGGGCTACGTCTAGCTTTAGTTCTGCTGATTCTTAAATGGTGGTGGGCTGAGTGTATCGCTAGTTGTACAGTACGGTACGGTACGTCTCAATGGGTCTGTACTGGGTGCATTGAAGGTGATTTCAGTGCTCGTTGGGAGGGTAGGATAAGAGGGGGGTCGTTTGGAATTATATTACGATTTCTGTTCCACTCCTTCTGGGCTTCTGCGGGGGGAGGGGGGTGGATGGGTGGGAAATCAAGGCATTTCACAGTATTAAGTTAAAAAGGCTATGACACTCCAGCGCATTGAAAGGTGGATGTCGTCATTACTACATCGACCCTTCACTGCTAGGATAACCGCACGGCGTGATACCAGTATGGCAGTATCATATCTTTTCGTAAGTCAGATTTGTGCCAGGGCAGCCTGCCCGCTTGCCTTTCGTCGTTCGCCCAAAGCCTGGCGATTTGGCGGTTTTGGTGCCCTCTCGGTTGGTTCTGTTGCCAATGGCTCCAGTCCGACTTTTACGAAATAATACTCGAGTACCGTTACTCGAATGTATCGTGCTCGAGTAGTACTCAAGTACAGTGATCGCAGTCTACCGGTACGGTAGTCTATGTTTGCCCTGCTCCTGTTCATCTCTTGCTCCCCTCTGCCCACTCGTTATCTGTGTGTGTGTGTGTGAGGACCATACCAATAACTCAAGTAATCAGGTGTGTGTGAGTGTTTTCACACACTTGACGTCGTCAACATGTGAGAAGCCAAGACTCGGCAATGATCAGATTTACCCATCCGGGAAATATTCAAGCTCGCGCCGATCTCTTTCCCCGCAATCCCTGTTCCCAAGCAGTGCTCACCAGCGTGAAGGGGGCTTCAGACGTCAGGCTTGGATCATCGATCCGACTACCTGCAACAACTTTCACTTGCCACACATCGGTCTTCCATTTCGAGATGATAGTCTACTCGCAAGGTACTCGAGTATACTAGGTACGGCATAATAATGCATACTCGAATACAGTGCGGAAGCAAAGTAAAAAAATGAAAAACGAAAAACGAAAAACAAATCGATATAAGACTCCCGTTATCACACAATTCTACAGTACCCGCTATCCCAGCTTCAAAAACTCAAGGCAGCTCAAACCATCGCCAATTCTACATTTTTGTTCCCCAAAGAAAGAAGAAGGAAAGAGAAATATACCAATATAAGAAAAGGTTAAACCCAGGCGAAAGAAATAGTATGTTACAACACGAGACGATATGAGTGAGGGGGTAGAGAGAGGAATGGATGAGGATAAAAAAAGACAGAGGGCCCTCCGTCTTTTCCGTCTTTTTTGCTGTTTTCTTCTTTCCATTGTGAAAGATGTTTTTGCAGAGTCTTTTCTTCTGCTTCTCCGATCCGAGGTACCATAGCCATCCAATACAAGCCAACTCAAGCCAACCCATGCATCAATCGCCCTTCAGTTTCAAGGATATGAAAGAGAGGAAAAAACGCGAAACCGTCAAACCGGTACAGACGTCCCTACGCGCACCCGCACCCGCGCAAAACTAAGCCCATGATGTGCACAGAAAAAGTGAAAAAGAGAAGAAGGAAAAACAACACCAGCAGAACACCAGATATGTGAACTGTAGAACAAGGTAGACTGACCGAAAACTAAAAGAACATAACCCTTCATATCACCGGGAAGCGAGAAAGAAGAAAAAAAAGAAAGATCAAAAAAGAGAACAAAAGAGGAACCCCGGCATCACACCAAAGCATTAAAAAAAAATTTCTTCATCCCATTGTTCATCAGGCAAGCGACTGCCCATGACCAAAAAAATCATCCACCAAGGAGCCGGAGAAAAAAAACTCACTATCTTGCAAAGACCTTAGCTACACCGTCGCCTCCCCCACTTACTGCCCACCTTCCGTCTATACTCCAGACAACGGAACAGACCCCTTCGCCCCGCATAAGCCGGTGGCTCGTGATTTCTTGGGTGCAGGATCTCTTTTCCATGCTCCAGAATCTCAGACTTGCATCATGACCAGCAGAGACAAGTTCTCTGCCATCTGGGGAGAGCGCCAAGCTTGAAATTGCAGCGGGATGTGCAAGCATGCTATATGTGCATTGGCCTTCAAAATTTCAAAATCAGCCTCAGTGCCCAGAGCCGGACTACAGAATCTTGGTTGGACACTTACCACTATTAGCGTCAAATATTCTCACGTATCGGTCCTCATGCCCGCTTATAATCATCCCGCCGACTCCACCCTTCAAACCCGTTGCTCCAGCCATCAAGGCTTCATCCCCTTTACCAGCCTCGACGGCACTCTCAAGGCTCACAGTCGATGCCACAACTGCATTAACCCCTGAAGCCGGTGTCCCATCATAGGTCTCCTGGCTCACCATGCTAACTATTTCCTCCCCAGACGCAGTATCATAAATAATGATAGCAGCATCATCATAGGAGACAACAAAGGTCTCGCCCGTGATAGACATTGGAGTTATGCAAGTTGGATTTGCGATAATGCCTTCTCGAGTAATTGTAGAAATAAGGGAATATTTGAAAGGGACATTATCGGTATACGGAACGGTAGATGACGGAGTACCTCTAAAACTTCCGAGCATACTACCAGCGTTCGAGTGAGACTGTGGTGACGGTGGAGGAGTCACACTCCATATCTTGACCGTTCCATCTGCTGAACCACTTGCTAAGAGGACTCTCTCAAAAGAGTCCGAGGAACCAAGGACATTGGATGCTGATGGCAAAACACAGACCGCCCATACCACATCAGTATGTCCCACAAGCGTAGCCTTAGGCCCCACCTTCCCCGCCTCCCATACATTCACAGTGGAGTCTTGCCCCCCAGAGAATATCCACCCTCCAGCGTTGGAGGCAGCCTCACCACCACTTCCTCCGGCAGGGGGGCGAGCTGCCAGGCATGTAACCATTCCCGAATGACCCCTATGGGTGAAATGACTTTGTATATCCATATCCGAAAGACCCATGGATAAGCCGTAGCTCCTTGAAATAAACCACCTCTTGAGAACGCCATCATCACCAGCAGTACAAATCTCCGGTTCATTGGCAGTTCCCCCACCAGTGAAAACAACAGCGCGGATAACGTCTAAATGACCCCTTAAGGCAAACTTTAATTTAAAATTTCCAGAATCCGAACCCAGCACCGTTGTAGAGGCCACAGTCCCTGCTGAATCCCGTGATTCGCTTGGGGATCGATGTTTTGATACAGAAAGTTTCCTTCGGTTAACACTATTAGCCTTCCCCGTATGGTTACTTGAACTATATTGTTCAATCTCTTTTGGGTGACTATTAGCAGCCTCCAGATCACTACCACCAACTCGAGTTGTCTCATCAAAATCCCACGAATCGGTATCGCCAGGTGCCAAAGACCCTGTAGCACTTTCACCCGCGGTGGCCACGGAGGCAGAGAAGGGGTTTGTATCAGCTTTTCCATAATCCAAACCTGAGGAGGAAAATGCATTTTGCTGCTCCAATGTTTCATCTAACTGTTCGTTTGAACCCGAGGGGGTATTGATCTGAGGCTGAGGCTGGATCTGCAATTCCTGGTGGAACGAAGCCTGCTGACTGCCCATCTCATGAGACCGGGATAGCGAGGCACGACTATGTGGGTATGGTTGATGTCCAGAAAGCATCCCGGCATTGCCTAGCTGACTACTGGCCTGTCCTGTCGGGCATGGAGGCTGGTGGTTGGGGGACGGAGAAGGCTGTTGAAGTACCTGATGCTGTGGTTGTTGCTGTTGTTGCTGCTGTAGCATAGACTCCACGTTGATAGGAGGTTGATGCTGGGGTGGAGGATGATTTGGTGGGGTAAGTAAATAAGTGATCTCCTGCAGACACTTCTCCAGATACGCCCGACTCTTATTTCTGGCAGCCTCAGCTCTATAGAGTGACGAGGATTCTCCAAGGGGGATTGACTGCTGAGATACTAAACATAACAAACACGTTAGCCTTTTCTCCCGAGCCCAAGCGTGCTTCCAAACTTACACTTTGCATTGATCGAGTTCTCCACCGCAGCCTTCTGGCCCCCTTGCCCATCCCTCTCGGCCCCCTCCAATCCCCTCGACGTCCTCTCCTTCTTCAGCGCAGTCTCGAGCATTTTTATCCTCGTCAGGAACCCCTGATGCAACCTGTTTGCTGCCCTATTCTCCCCTTCCAGCTTTGCTATTCTAGCCTTCATCTCCGCGCGCTCTATTTCCCAGGAATTACGATCCCGTTCGTGACGATGCCATTCCGTCTGCAAAAACCTCATGACACCTAAATCGTGCCCCTAATCAGCTCTCCATAACCCAGCACAGCCGATCAGTGATACCTCTCACCCTGTAAGGTGTACTCTGTACCAACTGCGCCGTCTCCAGAGCCACCATTGGCACCGTTCCCTTGAAGGCCACCGTTCCCATTATTCCCATCGGGGGAGGAGTTATGCGCAGAGGGCGACTGCCAGGCCATGGTGCCGCGTACGCTTGTTTTCGGCGTAAGTCGCGAAAGGAAAGAAGCTTTAATGAGTACAAAACAAAGAGCGGATTGAACGGAAGATTCCTGTGGAGAGATGTCGTCTGGATGGTTGATCCAAAAGGAGGCGAGAAGTTGTGCCAAGACAACGTCAACCCAGTAACTCAGAAGAGGGTGTGACAGCAAAGATCGAAAGAAAGTTTAGGGAAAAAAACGTTGCGAGAAGAATGAAAAAGAAAACAACCTGAAGGGCAGGTGGCGAGATCGGTAAATGAGGCGGGGAAGACGTTCGAAAGAGGGATGAAAGGGGAAAGAAGTTATGGGAGGAGATCCAACAGGTGTTCGTTTAGAGTCGTATGTCTCTCTTTTTTATTTTTTCCTTCCCTTCCTTCCCTCTCGCCCACTTTTCCAGGCTCAAGAGGAAGAAAATTGAAGTTGGTTGGCAGTCGCTGCACGTCCCAGCATGGGGGAAGAAAGGTCTTAGAGCACCGATACTGGTCGTGTACCGGTACTACACGAGTACTTGTACGGTAAGTGGCCGATGCTTTCTTCTTCTATGTGGCGGGATGCAGGAAGGATGTCGCTTCCAACTTTCCATGGAGAAGCCACAGGGCTTCGATACCGAAGAGCACTGGAAATTTGATATGTCCCGAATTACTCGCCCAGTACTGGTATGGTATCATACTGGTAAACCATCATGATATTGTCACCATTGCATCCCATATTTCCACCGGAACAACACTGAGCCATCAGGCGCAGAATTACAATAAATTGAAGCCCACTCCCATAGTGGTGCCATTATCGTGTGGATGAAATAAATAAGGAACAGCCCCTGGTTAAATCATTATTATTTTCCCCTCTGAGTGTGATAAATCTGCCACACTTTTCTGCAACATAAATCGATACTGATGCATCGGCCCACCGCTCATGCAGCACATTCGCTGCGGAATTCCTGACCGTCAAAATGGCCTGTGTGTACCCCAGGTTTTGCCTCCCGACGCGCAGAGTACTATACCGTGCATATATTGACAGCCCACGAGTTTTCATTGGAATTACATACCAAAAGGTACTTTCGCCAGCGCAGTCTTCTTGTCACGCTAGCCCAGGTACCAGCATGAAGGGCAATAATTTAAGCTTAATGTGTGAGCCGAATTCTAGTCATTTCGCGGTAGCCTTAATTTTACGGGCATTAGAAATACAAGAAAAGGCTAGGGAAAGAGCTAAAGAAAGAATCTGAGATGACGCTGTCGAGAAACCGAAAACCAAAGGCGGTGAGGAATATAGTTGTACTGTACAAGCAATCCCCCACCCTGGACCTCTATCGCAAACTCCGGAGAAAACACAGGAAACGACACAATACTCGGGAGAGTTTAGCACAATACTAGAATACGAGCTCCTCAATCTCAAACCCGCAGTCCTCACACGTCCTAACGCTTTCCCCGCTGGTATTCGTAACGGCGGTGCCCCAAACATGCTCATGTTTCTCATTTTCGGCGCTCCGTTTCCAGCTCTCGACACGAGTCTTATTTTTAAGACTCCTGAGCTTTGCTCGGAACTTATCATCCTTCCTCTTCTTCCTGGCACCATTTCTCCTCTCGAATTCCTTGTCGAGATTTTCCATAGAACCCCACTTCTGTAGTGCAAACTCCTCCACCTGGTAGCGAAGATATAGCATCATATTGTTCCAAGTTGATCTGTGGGGATTTGGTTTGTGCATGCGCGGGAGTAATTCTTCGTCCTTGAGCTCAGCTACAGGGCAAACATGTTAGCAGAGCCGGGAACAACAACAAGAGGGACTGTGAGCACTCACGATCAGTCAAGAAATAATCATTCCGGCACTCAGTCTTGGTCAAAAGACTATACTTTTCCGGCATTTTGTCCTTGCACCCGGCACAGACCCTGCACTTGAAAATCTCATACCACCTCCAATCAATCTCCACAGTGTCACACTCATAACACCTGATCTGTTCCTTCTCACCCATAGTGAGAGCACTAAGGCCCGGCTCATATGGTCCCGATTTCTCCTTCATAAGCTTCATCTTCAACTGATGCTTCGCCCAATCCTCCAAACTCATGTGTGCTGGCTTATCCCGTAGATCTACCGCCGAAAGCATAGAATGAGGGTCATCCTCGGTAGATATAAAACCCCCTTTCGTGTCCGTCATCTTGGCAAATTCGTACTCCACAAATTTTTGGAACTTGCGTGCAGGTTTGATGGCGATATCCCCACGACCTTCACCTCCTTTGCGACTATTGGCCATGGTTGCGAAAGAGCGTTTATTGCCCGGGGTGGGAGAGGAGGATGAGGTCGCATTGTTTAATGCAGGGCGAGAAACAGTTGGTTCGGACTCTGCTTGCTCCTTGAGAGCCTCCCGGATCGCAATGGCTTTAAGACGGTTTACCTCCTGGCAAACGTCAGCTCCAAGTTTAATAGTTGTTTGTGAGAATATGAAGGCTTACCGCTCGTGTTCGTTGCTCTTCTGTGGGGGGGGCTCTAGTTGGTGCCACTGGTGGCGTTGACCGTTCCTCGGCAGACATGGCACTGTAAATCGTCGGAAGAACGTGCTCGTACCGACTGTACTGACAACAGCAAGGCAACTTACGAAACGGAAACAAATGATTGAGATCAAATGGTCGGATGCCAGATGCTTATTTACCCATAGACCAAAGGCGATCTAGTACGAAGTGATAAGAATGAAGAGAGTTCGTTGCAGAAATCCTCCACACGCTGCGCAGCGACCAGGAAGCGAGGTCTCGAAACGAGGGTCAAAAAAGGAAAAGGCTCGCCAACGGAAAGAGTCATAATCATTAGCCACAGGTGCACCGTGGAATGGAGTCCCACACGAACCCTTGGCCTCAAACCGATTTCCGATCTAGCCAAGAACTGTTTCATAACCATCGTACTTGTACTGTACCTTAACTCGCACCAGCTTGCTATGATACCGGTACTCGAGTTATCGTACTTGTACCGGCAGCCTGGAAGGGCGCTTTCGTACGAGACAAATTTAAGGCGTCGACGGTACCAGACCGTCAAGGTGGGAAAAGAGGTGAGAAATCTGCGACCGGCCGGCCAGGTCCGTGATTGAGGTCAAGTTTCCAGGGCGCTGGAACTACGGAATATCATAATCAGCATGATAGGAGGGGCGTTAAAAGTGCCAGTACCGGGCTGTGATTCCCACAATTTACAGGTAAATTTACTGGTAGAGAAAAAAGGTCTTAATATTGAGCGCCGAGTGGAGCTGGCCGATCCCAATCCCCGTCGTACCACAAAGCTCCCGAACTCAGACAAAGGTCCCTGAGAAGAGAAAAGATCAGCCAATTGGACGTGTTGGATCTTATCAACTGGCTTTCATCATTCTCTCAACCTCCCAAACTAAACCTATCCTGAGCTGACACACCGAGGCCTCCTGATAATCTGATAAGTTGGTGGATCTCAAGGGATTTTACGGAGCCCACACCTGCAGTACAGACGCAGAGTTTCTCAAAAGTTAAAAACATAGAAATAACTTAGCTTCCTTACTCAGCTGTCTCACATAAACTTGGCGCACCCAGGAGTAGTTAGGGGGGTTCCTGGCCGTGCCATTCTGATTTGAAATAGGAGTTTGAGATTACATCTTGACAACTCTAACCTATATTATGGTCCGTGAATCTGGGGTAGGAACAAGATAAATAGTTGTAATAATTTAAGTTAAAGTTGCCAAGATGCAGCCTCGGATCCCGATTTCAAAACAGAATTGCGCGGTCAAACACCCACCAGTCCACCATTATTACTACCGGTACGGTACCTTATCAAGCAAAGTTGTTGTTTTTTTTCCTCTTTCTCTTCTCTTTTTTTTTTTTTCAGGTTGATAACACTATAGAGGTTTACTAGAGTAGAGGTAGATTGCTCCAAAACTCTGTCCAACCAAATCCCATCAAAACTTAGAAACAATCCAAAATATTATCAATTTCAACCTTGGCACTTTTTTCCTTCAGTTACAAGTACTGTACCTTGGTGTATTCAAATATACAAGCCGAAGGATCTAGGCATAATTAGCTATAGAAACACTATAAAGTACGGTAACTTAATGCAACTTCCCGTGTTTACTTGTTATTGAAAAATCTTTTTTTTTAACACTGAAAGCTCCTTGGTATTATACTGCTATCTATCTACTCGAGTACTCGGGTAAGTTACTGGTAGGTAGGTACTGTACTAGTACAGCCCCATATAGTCTAATCTCTGAATTCTACGTGTCAAACTAAACCTATCATGGGTTGACGGGCCGACGGGCTGATCTCCAAGAGTACCTGTATTTGCGGTAAGTCCGCCCGTGAATTGCACGTTTCACAGAACAGTACTGCTACAGCGCACAGCGATGAAGAATAACTTTGCCTTTCCTCTCAGGACCATTTTTTCCCCCACCAAGTTGATGCTGGGTCGACGAACAAGGATAATAAATTACATTGAACCCATGGAGGCTTTCCGAAACAATGGAGTACGCTACCGTTAACGACAGCCCCGCCATACCGGTAGGCTATAAGTCCCCGAAAACAGGGACCAAAGAAATATATGGCAAAACATTGCGTGTCTGGGCTCCCGCACAAAACGTGCCCCCCTCCCGTTCTCTCGTACTTGTACCGGCAGTACTTGAGTACTTACGGGCTGGGACAAGTGCTGTGCAGTACTCGTACTCGAGCACAAGTGCGAGCAAATTTAGCAGACAACTCAATTCGTCCTTATCATTCGCCAGAACAAACCGGACCGCCATCCGAAGCCCGGGGATCCAACCCCTCCTCTAGCACCCAATTGCATATTACTATATCAGGTTAGGAGACCAGAGAAATCATTAGAGTTTTTGATAGATATCAAATTCAAGGTCCATCGGAGAGTACGATATGATACCTTATCTACTGCTTCAGGTCAAGGTTCAACCACCGTGAACGTAGCTTACATACAGTACTCGAGTACAGTAGTCTAAACACGGTATATCACAAATTCAATTGAAAGTGAGGCTACAATCCCTCTTATCACCCACCATCCACCCGTACCGGCAGTCAAGCGTATATATTTCTCGAACATCGTTATGCGTCCTGGCTCGGCTGAACCCTCAGCACCGGTAGGTTTAGAAGTGAGATGCAAGGAAATTTTCAGGGTGAGATGCGATGGATGACGTTCAACAGAACGGCAGATGGAATCGGGAGATGTCAGAGGGCCAAAGATCAGCAACAGCGGAAGGCATCAAAGGTTGGCGCGGAGAGGGAGGGACAGCGACTCACAGTATGATACCGATATCGTACTGGTATCGGCTCCCCGGATTTATCAGCACCACGGTTCCCGGTCACGGTTGGAGGGAGACATTCAAAAATTCCTGTTTTCATAACTTACCTCCCTCCCTCCCTAATTTACATAGCGAAATGGAGAATTTCTGGACTGGAAAACCTTCTCAGAATTCATCTCATGTTCATAGGCGAGACGAACGTCATGCTGAGTAAAAACATTCACCCTAACCTTTTTTTGGTGCTGTCGTGGGGGGGGGCAGCCCCTCAGAATGCCGTAGCCACTCCACCGGCCCCAAGGAAGGAACCCCACGGAATGACATCCCATCGCTACGAAATCGCAGCCACCTTGCTATGAGTGATTATGATATGTATGATATATTATGGGAAGTGATAAAAACCCTTAACCTGGAGTGCAAAACCCGAAGAAAAGGAAAAGGGGGGAGGAGGGAAGAAGGCGTCGCGCTTCAGGCTTGCAGTACGGAGCCCTGCCAAATATCACTCGAACGAGGCCTTGTATGATACCTAAAAATGCCATGATTACGATACCTCGAATTCAATTAAATTATTGCTCTGGAAAGGGTGTGATGTCCGTCCACCGTCCGTCGTCCCTACGATCTCTCGGTTCAACAATTTCTGTACCGGCATAATACGTCAGCCTACCTATCATCTATGATACTATACAGTACCAGTGTCGGGGTTATATGAATACTACGCGGTACAGTACAACGTGTTTCCCGACCGCGAACAAGTTATTGCCTGCGCTTGCTCTGCGATCCACCACATTCACCTTGTTGCACCAGCCCTCACTCACTTTTTTTCTTTTCTTTTTCCCATTTTTCCCCTTCCCACGATAACGGTGTAAGCGACGCCGACCACCCACCACCACCCCAGCTAGCATCTCCTCCACCACACCCTCTGCCACACCACGAGTGCTCGCTCAACACCATACCGGTAAACGTACAGTCCAGTACTCGTACACCACCTCACTGTAACTAACACCTGCTGCTGAACCTGTCATAACCCCACCAGCACCCTAATATCATAGCCCTTAATCTACGGCAACTCAAAATACCCTCACCCTATCTCAGCACCGCTATCTTGATCAAGCAGTTGGGCTGTGCTTTCATTGCTACGGAAGGACGGAGAAGTTAGGCTCCGCGCCTTCTGCCTTGACCCATTGCATCACGTCCCGCTCGCGCAAGAGGAGAAAAAAAAAAAAACGAACAACGCAACTCCTTGCACACAACCTTCTCCATCAACTCTGCTTCATCTTCCTCCTGTTCCGTCGTCGCCTTGTCCTTGACTCACTCAACAACGAAATCTCCCCTTGATCTGTCAACGACAACAATAAAATTTCCCTACAGGTCACCGTCTCGCCAGCATTAGGATTCACAGGAAGGGAGGAAGAAGGGGAGAAAATAATAACAATCAGACGTTCGCTTTCCACCGATCTCTTCTACGTTCTCCTTCGAGCCCCCTCCCCCTTCTTCCTCCCCCCCTCTTATTCTTCCACTCATTCCTTTTACCGTCATAATAGAAAAATGACGACCCCTCCCCATCCACAGAGCCAGCCTAGCGGTAGCAGCAACAACAGCGCCCGTGGTCGCAAACGCCCCGCTCCTGGAACTAGTGCTCCTATCCTCTCGTCTGTACCTGCGGCTGCTGAACCGACAGTCATAACTGATTCTGGTATGAACTACCTGAACTTGCCGACGACGCCCGTTGGCATCACGTCTGCAGGTCCGGGTGGGAACCTCTACCCTGCTAGTTCAGGCCTAGCCGACACTTTTCTTGGTGGGAGATCGGACGTTGACCAGAATACTGCGGCAACGCAAGCGGGCGCCATAAACCTTCCTATCACCGCTAGCGATAGTACCGGCCGGCTTGCCCGGATAAATCGGACAGGAAATACGTTAATTAGGATGCCTTATCCTTTGGCGACGGCCGGTGCTATGGCGCAGGGCCTGGCGGCTCCTGGTGTGCAGATGAACTTGCTGAATGGCTCGGGTGGAACTACGAATATGGGACAGGTTATGGGTTCTGGGCCTCAAAGCGATGGCTTGGATCCGTTCGACAGGGAGTTACATATGAGAATTGAGAAAATGAGAAAGAAAAGGGCGAGCATCCCTCCGTTTGTACAAAAACTGAGCAGGTACGTTTCAAGTTTGCTTAGTCGTTGCAATTGAGTTTGGTCGCTTTTTCGTTCACTTCCCATTCGTTTCGCTGGCGCTTGCCTCGCCACTTAGGATATTGATCACTGACATCATGATTTCGGCATTGCTAGTTTTGTTAATGATCCCAAAACCGATGCGCTCATTCGTTGGTCACCGTCGGGAAACTCATTTCTTGTGCTGGATGAGGATGAATTCTCACGAACACTAATTCCCGACCTTTTTAAACACAATAATTACGCTTCTTTCGTCCGTCAGCTCAACATGTACGGTTTCCATAAGGTGGTTGGTCTTGCCGACGGCTCACTAAAGACTTCTGAGCAGAGAAGCAAACCCCCCAGTGAATACGAAAATCCATACTTCAAACGTGGACAGCCCGATCTCATGTGGTTGATCTCGAAGCCAAAGGGTAAACCGAATAAAAAACGCAAGAATAAGCAAGACCCTGATACGGACAAGGAGGATGATCTGAGCGATGGCGGGGAGGGTGAATTCGGGGCTGGTGGCGTTGGTGTTGGCGGGTATCTCGAGGGGCCAAAGGCGGATAACCAGGGCGACGGACACCACCAACAAGGGGGCGGTGGTGGAAGAGGTTCCAGGCCGGATCTGCAAGCATTGATTCAGCAACTGGAGGCTGTCAAGAACCACCAGGCAATGATATCGGCAGCTATTAACCGGCTTCGTAAGGATCACAATCAATTGTACGAGCAGAGCGTCGCCTTTCAAACGCTTCACGATCGCCACGAGCATTCAATTAGCGCCATTTTGACATTTCTAGCGACAGTTTACGATAAGTCATTGGGTGGTCATATCAACGGGGCATTCAACAATTTGTTTACACAGAACCAAGTAGAACATGGGCACGGTTTGCATTCGCAAGGTGTGGGTTCGGTGGTGGGTAATGCTGGCGGGGCAATTGTCACACCAGCCAGGCCAGCCCAGGCTGTTGTACGCACACCCCAGATGACTAGGCGGCGGCAGCTGTTGCTTGAGAATGGACCAATGGCCGGTCAGATATCTGAGGAGGACTCGAATCCAGGTATTTCGTCCGGAAACAGTCAACCCCTCAAACCTAATGGTTCCTCCGCTGTTCAAAATTTTCAGGCATATCAGAGTCCCAGCATTCAGGAGCTGGTGACACCTACTCACGACGGTAGAAATCCATCGCCACGCCAAGAGCAGCAGCAGCAGCAACAACAACAGCAGCATCACAATTCCAATCTACAAAATTACCCCTCGCCAATCTTTAGTCTTCCAGATTCACCCACTGCACAATCAACTCCACAGATGGGGAGACCCTCCACTTCACCGGTTCTAGCTAAGAGCTCATTGGCTCGGCCATTTAACCGAAGTCTCCCGGGATCGGGTGTGAATTCCAAGGGTATCCAGGACCACACTGCCCAGATGGCCCAGAAAGCCAAGGAGATTGAGGACCTGGAGGAGCTACAGGCTGTCCAAGAAGGGAATGTGGAAGGTTTGATCAGGAAAACTTCCCTACCCTGGGACCTACCATCGTATCCTCCGAACACAACCTGGCCGCGATAAAGGAGAGAGAAATATCCAGCGGATGAGAACGCAACTATC